TGTGGACACCTGGGCCTGATGACAGGGCACCATCAATACGCGGACGAAAGCTTGTTGGACAAGAGAAGGTGGGAGCCAACAAGGAGGTAGATGAGCTGAACGCGAAGATGGCCAAGTACGTCAAGCAGGAGCTGTGCAAAGACACCGGGAAGGACGACGAGGAGATCTCTACGTGGCCGGTGGAGACGTACAACTACGTGGACGAGTGCTTCTACGACGACAAGGACGAAGCTCAAAACGAGGACTACGTCGAGGCATTCTACACGGAAGAGCTAACGGACAACTACCCGATGGAGAGGAGTGGCGCGCAGAGAACCATCCAGATACCTGACCAAGTTGTAGTTCTGTTTCAAGTCTGTGCACTTGCAGTGTATGGAGTTTGTCTTTCGATGTCTCCTACGGTGGTGACAGTAGTCTCTATCATCGCGGGTATCATCATGTTCATCTACATAATGCAGCCTAAGCAGAACGACGACGAGGACACCGCTGAGCCGATGGACGTGGATAGTTCAAGCAACGACAACCTGTTCATGCCGGAGTTGCCCGAGAAGCTGGTCAAGGTCAAATCCAGGACGGCGAAGGCGACGCCGAAAGCTACGACGACAACACTTGCAGTTCGAGCCGAGCCGGAGACCTACGACGACGAGATCACAGGAGATGGACCAATCTACCTGGGAGATAGTACTCTACTGAGGCAGTGGCTTGAGACCATGGGACCGACGATAATCAGGAGTGGCAAGTACGAGGGCGACAGCTACGAGACGATCTATGCGAAGGATAAGCACTACGCAAATTGCCTAGGACGGTGTCTCAAGCTGGACGCAGACGAGAGCAGGAGCTATAACCTCGACCCAAGCATCAAAAGCTACGTGGCATACAGCATCATCAAGTCAGCAGTGCGTGTACGCTGAGCACCGCTACCACATATGTGACGGTATCTTTGAGCCAGCCGTGGCAGTGGCTCAGACGTGAACGGTAGTGAGGATGATGAGTGAAAGCACCCCCTCTAAAGCTCAGGTAAATATTATGATATCTTGATATCTGTTGCTCGGTGCGCGGACGGTAGCTTGACGGGTCGAGCCGAGAATATGATCGAATATTCTAGAAGCTTGCTGCAGAATTTGCCAAGGCATTCTTTAGCAACGTTTCCTTTTCCTGTGTGAAAGTTGCATTAGCAGAGATGCGAGATATAGGATGATAATTAGAATTATCTCTGCTGCTGCTCTCGCTCGCTCTCGCTTGCACTCTCTTGTTCACCGCGGCCGTTTTGGCTGTTTGCCCGCCTGCTGTGGCGGGAGAGTGGACGCACCTATCGAACGCTGAGTTTGATGCGGTGTAACAATCGCATCATATTCTGGTCATTTCTTCTTGCATCAAGAGGTTGTGGGTGGAGTGAATTGGATTACTATTTACATTCCGCCCCAAGATGGCCCAGAGAGCCCCTGGAGACTCCCGAGTACCCCCCAAGACGCCCCAAGAGGCCCCCAAGGGGCCCTCAAGACGCCCCCCAAGGCCTCGGAAACCCCACAGAAGCCCCAAAGAGCCCTCCAAGACCCCCCAGAGGCATCCCGCGAGACCCTTCTCTGCATCCAACAGGCCTCTGAACCACAGCCTAGGCATGGTGGCGGGATGGGCCAAAGGCCGTTATATGTGTATATATACGTACATATACATGTCATTGGGGTGATGCGGTCAAGAATGTGCAACCGACGTGGTGCAGTCTGAAACCCGTGTGGCACAACATGCTCGGTGCAACCGACGTGGTGCAATCTGAAGCGCGCAACCGATGAGGGATAATACGTACGGCACAACATGTGCGACGATATATGGACAGCGCAACGCATGGTGGATGTGCTGCAATGAATCCGTGAGTTGCCAGCTACGCAACTGTTCGAGCAAACGTCCATCCCATCCTCCCATCCGGAAGGAACTGATTTGACAAAACTCCATCCATCCAGCCGCATCTAGAATTGCGGACTGGCACGTGCTAGAACATCTCTGCGGCCGCGCTGGCGCGCGAACGCTCGCGCGCAAGGCGACAAATTGGTTTGGCGCAGGTGAAGCGGCCGTGATGGCGCTTGCCGCCTGTTTCAAAGCCGCGCTAGCGCGCGGGCACTTTAGTACGGGTCGGTGGCTCGGGCGGGCGCAGTATCCACGATGATACGATTAGCGATGGCAGTGACGATGATCGACAAAGCCAATGACGGCGCCGATGCCGGCGATGACGACGACGATGATCATATCAATGTGTCTGTGATGAAGGTAGGTATAGACCCCGAAAGGGGAAGGCTACACTAGAGCCTACCCAAGGCCCTACGGTACCCAAGGCACTAGGGTAGCCTTGGGCAAGGCCTACCCCAGACCGCACGGACAAATTCGACGTACGCGTCGAGCGTAAGCGTAGGGTAGGCCTAGGGGAAGGGCCTAGGGGTAGGCCTAAGGCAGGCCTCATGGAAGGGCCAGGGCTAGGGTAGGCCTAGGGGAGAGGCCTAGCAGTAGGCCTAGAGTAGGCCTGGGGGGAGGGCCTGGGGGTAGACCTAAGGTACGCCTGGGGGAAGGACCTAGGGGTAGGCCTAGCGGTAAGCCTAGCGGAAGGGCCCAGGGGTCGGCCCAGGGTAAGCCTAGAGAAAGGGCCTAAGGGTAGACCTGGCGGAAAAGCCCAGGGATAGGCCCATGGGCAAAATAGCCAACTCGAACGAATCAACGGGGCCCGCCCGCTCCAACACAAGAAAAAATCCGACGCAAGTGGGGCGCCCCACCCCCGCCGCGCATTTTGCAATGCGCGCGCCCGAACATCCAAGTTGAATTGGGAAACCGTTGATTTGTTTTGTTTGTGCGCGATGTACGCCGCGCCCCGCTCATGGCGAACCCTAGAGGGCGGGTCGGGTCGGGCGGGCGGACCCCAGCGGGCGGCTCGGGTCGGGCGGGCGGACCCTTGCGGGCGGGTCGGGTCGGGCGAGCGCACCATTGAAGTGTGGGGCATAAACGAACGAGCACGCGCGAACCCTAACGGGCGGGTCGGGTTGGACGGGCGGACCCTACCGAGCGGCTCGGGTCGAGCGGGCGGACCCCAACGGGCGGGTCGGGTCGGGCGGGCGAACGATTAAAGTGCAAAGCGTTCACGAGCGAACACGCGTGAACCCTAGCGGGGGGGTCGGGCCGGACAAATGCACCCGAACGGGCGGGTCGGGTCGGGCGGGCGGACCCTGGCGGGCTGGTCGGGTCGGGCAGGCGGGACATTAAAGTGCGGGGCGTACACGAGCGAGCACGCGCGAACCCTGACGGGCGGGTCGGGCCGGGCGGGCGGACCCCAACGGGCGGGTCGAGTCGGGCGGGTGGACCCTCGCGGGCGAGTCGGGTTGGGCGGGAGGAACATTAAAGTGTGGGGCGTACATGAGCGAGCACGCGCGAATTGAACCCTAACGGGCGGATCGAGTCGGGCAAGCGGACCCCAACGGGCGCATCGGGTCGGGCGGGCGGGCCCGAACGGCGGGTCGGGTCGGGCGGGCGGGACATTAAACTATGGGGCATATACACGAGCGAACACGCGTGAACACTAACGGGCGGGACGGGTCGGGCGGGCGGACCCTAACGGTCGGGTCGGGTCGGGCGGGCGGACCGTGAAAATGTGGGGCGAACACGAGCGAGCACGCGTGAACTTAACAAACGGGTCGGGTCGGGCGGGCGGACCCTAGCGGGCGGGTCGGGCGGGCGGGACATGAAAGCGCAGAGCAAACACGAGCGAGCGCGCGCGAACCCTAACAGGCGGGTCGGGTCGGGCGGGCGGAGCCTAACGAGCGGGTCGGGTCGGGCGGGCAAATGCGTGGGGCACCAGCGCGGCCAGGGCCGGCGGCGACAGGAAGGGAAGCACGGCACACCAACTGCAGGGCACCCACACGCGGTACACCCGTGCGCCAGCGGCCGACTGGGGTTGAGCAGGACACCGCGGGGCACGAGCCACGGGGCACCAGCCTGCTGGGCGCCATCGCGCGGACGGCCGAGTGCGGCACGCAGAGCAGGCTGTTCCCGAAATTCCAAAAGAACACCCGGGTGCAAATACTCATGTTCTCCATGGGCCTTCCTTCTTTTCGGCTAGAACGCATCGTTGCACATACGTGCAAAGTTGTCACAGTAATACGCCTATGTGGAATGCACTTCTGGCCTGTGCGATGTGCCGCACAGCTTTGAGTGCAAGCACTGGCTTCGAAATACCAATGACTGCATGGAGCAGTCGCCAGCGGTACACTGGCCGGGGGCTTCGACGTAAACCTGGCAAGACAAGAACGTCTACAGACCCAAACCCCGCGCGGACGAAATCACGCCCCCTCCGTCCCCTGCAGCTCTCCGTTGTTGCCCCCGACCCCAGCAGCCCGAGGCTAGACTCCCAACGTCTTCATCGGCACGTGGCTTCCTCCTCGTCACGAGGGACTGATGTTTCCATCCGCGTGCCCCAGATTCCTCGACCCTTCCCCAGGGCCAATTTGGGGCTGTCCTGGGGCCGAAATCAGCATCCAAGGGCCTGGACGGGTGGAATGACGTCCGTATTGATCTGTTGAGACGTCGGACCCAAGCCCCGCTTCACGACAAAGACACCAGGAAATCTGGGCCCCTTCCCCAGGACCGGCTTTTCAATCCGAGCCCTTTTGACTGAAGATCCTGGGGGCTGAACATGGCCCCCGAACGGCTGAAACCAGACAAAACCTTGGATCGTGAGTTTTGTCGCCACACGAGGGGCTCAAAATCAGCTGGCTGGGCCACTCCTGCAGCTCGCTCGGAGGCGCAGCTCGAGGCGGATCCGAAACCGCGGCGACGAGAAGCCACCAGGAAAGCCAGTCAGCAGCCCGAGCACGCCCCCCAAAAAAGAATTCCTGACCTCCGAAGCTCGAACCTCGAGCCGACCCACACCGCGAAGCTCAATCTCCGAAGCTCGACCCGCCGAAGCTCGGGCCGAGACGGGCGGCGGCGGCGGCCGGCGGGGAGGAGCCGGCCGCGGCCCCCTCCTCGGCCCGGGCGTCGGCCGCCGGCGCGGGGTCGGCCTCGCCGCCCGGGCCTCGCAGCGGGGAGGTGCGGTCGCCGGCGTCGCCAAGAGGGCCGGTGGAGGAGGCTCCTCCTTCTCCTCCTCCTCCTCCTCCTCCTCCTCCTCCTCCTCCTCCTCCTCCTCTTCCTCCTCCTCCTCCTCCTCCCTCTTCTTCTTATGCTTCTTATTATTATCATTATTCGTAGTATGATTATTAGTAGTAGTATTGTGATTAGTAGTAGTAGTAGTAGTATTGATACTATTATTATAGTTATTATTACTATTATTAGTATTATTATTATTATTATTAGTAGTAGTAGTAGTAGTAGTATGATTAGTATTATTACTATTCTTACTATTATTAGTATTAGTGTTATCAGTAACAGACTTATTATTCACCTTATTATTAATCATCTTCTTAGTATGAGCATTCGTCTTATTATTATTCCTTTTCGTATTAGCATTCGCATCATTATGCTTAGTAGTATGAGTATTCCTCCTCCTCCTCCTTCTTCTTATTCTTCGTCTTATCAGTATTATTATGGTGATTCGTAATACTAGACTTATTAGTATTAGTCTTATTATTTGTATTGCTGTTCGTATGATTATTGATACGATTGTTATTAAAAATAAAAATAATAATTGTATTAGTACTATTGTTATTCTTATTATTAGTATTATTAATATTATTACTATCCGCCTTCTTCATATAAGTATTAGTAGTATTATTGTTATCAGTAGTATGATGATTCCTCCTCCTCCTCCTCCTCCTCCTCCTCCTCCTCCTCCTCCTCCTCCTCCTCCTCCTCCTCCTCCCTCTTATTCAGATTACTATTATGATTATTCGTGGTGTTATTATTATTATTATTATTATTATTATTATTATTATTATTATTATTAGTATTATTATTATTCGTATTAGCATGATTATTATTAGCATCATTATTCTTGTAATAATTAGTTGTCCTCCTCCTCCTCCTCCTCAAGACGGCCAAGATGGCCCAGGATGGCCTCCAAGTTCGCCCAAGATGGTCCAAAAGGGTCCAAGATGCCTTCTAAATCGTCCAAGCCCCTCAAGCTCGCCCAAGATGGTCCAAGACGGCCTCCCAGACGGCCCAAGAGGGTCCCAGATACGTCCAAGTTCGCCCTAGAAGCCTCCGAGACGGCCCAAGAGGCCCCCAAGAGGTCCTCCAGGAGGGTCCGAAGAGGCCAAAATCGTTGATTGTCCAATGGGTTTGAAGGATTTTGGCATTTGCTTCTTCTCGGCATTCCGACGGCTCAAAACGGCCCAAGAGGCCCTCAAGATCGCCCCAAGATCGTCCACGAGGCCTCCAAGATGGCCCCATAAGGGCCAGAAAGGCCTCCAAGACGGCCCCAAGAGGGCCCGAAGAGGCCTCAAAGACGGCCAAGATGGCGTCCAAGACGGCTCAGGTTGCCTGAAAATGCCTCCAAGATGGCCCAAGACGCACCGAAGACGGCCTGAGATGGCCTCAAGATGGCCCAAGACGGCGCAACAGGTGACGGAGTGCGTGCGTTCCTATCATCGCCCATCCTCCGCCCGACGCGTACGTCCTCTCCAGAGTTCCTGAGACTTCCTGAGATGTTGGCCGAAGGGCCTGCATATATTTTGCCAGCCCACCAAAACCTGCCTCTTTTTGTACTGGCCCGCCAGAGACCATGTGACCAGGGCCGGCCGGGGCCCGTGTACTTGAGGACCTCTAGAGAGCCTTCTGGAGGTCCACTGCCCGCCGCCGCCGTTTGGCTCTGCGGGCCCCGCAGGGCCCTTGACCAATTTACGGTCTTCCGCCCCGCGGGCGGCTGATGAGAGCTCTGGTGCTGCGCGCTGGAGAGAGACAAGCATCCTGATCGCTTTGCGACTCCGCCAGCAGGCTCCCAAGAGGCCTCCAAGACGGGCCAAGAGCCCTCCAAGAGGTCCTCCAGGTGGGTCCGAAGAGGCCAAAATCAATTGATTCCCCAAGGTTGTTGAAGGACTTGGGCATTTGCTTTGTTTCGGCCTTCCGACGGCTCAAAACGGCCCAGGAGGCCCCCAAGATCGCCCCAAGATCGCCGCCGAGGCCTCCAAGATGGCCCCATGACGGCCCAAGAGGCCCCCAAGACTGCCCCAAGAGAGCCCCAAGACAGGCCAAGGAGCCTCCAAGACGCCCAAGACGGCCTCTAAGACGGCCCTGGAGCACCCCAAGAGGGCCCCAAGTCGGCCCAGAGAGGCCCCCCAGACGGCTTCCGACGGCGTCAGACGGGCCAGGAGCCCACCAAGACGGCCCAAGATGGCTCTAGGCTAGCCCAAGACGGCCCAAGAGGCCTCCAAGAGGGCCAGAAGAGGCCCAAAACATTGATTTTCCAAAGCTTTTCGAAGGATCTTGACATTCGCTTCTGTTCAGCCTTGCGACGGCCCGAGGCGGCCCAAAGGCCCCCAAAGATCGCCCCAAGATCGGCCAAGATACCTCCAAGATGGCCCCGGAACGGCCCAAGAGGCCCCCAAGACTGCCCCAAGAGAGCCCCAAGACAGGCCAAGGGGCCTCCAAGACGCCCAAGACGGCCTCCAAGACGGCCATCGAGCACCCCAAGAGGGCCCCAAGTCGGCCCAGAGAGGCCCCCCAAACGGCTTCCGACGGCGTCAGACGGGCCAGGAGCCCACCAAGACGGCCCAAGATGGCCCTAAAATGGCCCAATACGCCCCAAGAGGCCTCCAAGAGGGCCTCCATGAAAGCCCGAAAACGCCAAACTCATTGAATTCCCATGAGTTTTTGAAGGAGCTTGAGATTCGCTTCTTTTCGGCCTTCCGAGGGCCCGAGACGGCCCAAGAGCCCCCAAAGATCGCCCAAGAGGTCTCCAGTATGGCCCCAGAACGGCCCAAGAGGCCCCCAAGACGGCCCCAAGAGGCGCCCAAAACGGCCCAAGAGGCCTCCAAGACGCTCAAGATGACCTCCAAGACGGCCCTGGAACACCCCAAGAAAGCCCCACGTCGGCCCAGCCTCCCCCACCGCGTTCCCCGAACGCTTTCCAAACCGATTCGGGGAACACATGGTCCGATAGCTTGGCAAGCCTCTGGCCACAACGTTCGGCCACATAGGCGTTTCCAAAAAGGCAGGGGGCGGCGGTGATTCGCCGTAGGCGTCTTCGATACTGTCTCATGAAAGCTTGATGCTCCAACCCGCAGTCACCCACGGCTACTGGCACGAGTTGCATCTACATTGACAGAGTTGCCACGCCCAGCAACGAAGACAAACTCGAGCACGGTGGGGCGGCAAGCGATGCCAGCCGTTACCCCGCCACCCGTCGCGCGAGCCCCCTCGCGGAACACGAAGCTAAACATGAGCCACTCCTGCGACCCCCACACACACACAAAAAAAAAAAAATGATCGAGTGGTGGGTTGCTCTGATAGACTAAAACTGGCGCAGCATGGCTGCATGAATCCCCTAAGCCCTGTGGGCGTGAGAGGTTTAGCGAGGGCTCCTCCTCCATCTGCCCTATTCCATATTGCAGAGTCCCCTTTCGGGAAAGGGTCGACCCCTCCCCTATGACCCCCTTCCCTCCCCTCCCCCGGCCTCCCTGGCCTCCGTCATCGGCGCTGTCCCGCTGGCCGATCAGCGCGCGCGCCCGAGCCAAGGTCCTCTCGACGGACGCCACCGCCATCACGGTGCCAGCCACTCCTGCCGGCGGCGCGCGGAGGGGGCGGGGCGAGGGCGGCAACCTCGCAAAAAGGTGGGGCATCCCAAGGGCTCGCGGGCCCTGCAGGAGTTTTTTTGTGCCCGGACAGAACACCTGGGCGACACAACCCGAAAGGAGGTGCCCAAGGTGCCTGCATGAATTCACTTCGATGATATCAAATCAAACCAGGGGTTTTTCGCAACCCTAGTGGAGCGTGGCCCGATGCACAGGACCTTTGGGATCTCTGGAGAGAGGGCTCTTTGAGCCTCGAAACCTTTCTCGCTTGGATGCGCACAAGCGGGCTCTGTCGCCAAACAGCTCAAGGGCCCTCCGAAGCCCAGACGGCGGCGGAGGCAGCGGGTGAGAGGGAGCGAACGGGAGCAGGAACGGGCAACCAGTGCACATGAGACGTTAGAGAGGGGATTGGGGCAATGAGAAATGTGAGCGATATTGCACTCACTATCTTTACCGTTGCCCTAAATCTCCCGAACAGACGTACGAATTAAACTGCTTCCGAAGCTCGGATTCACACGATAGCTTACGCAGTACACATACAGGCATGCTTTCGCGCGGCGGCGAAACACGGAAAACGTCAATATGGAAATAAAACGTGACATCCCAGGCGTGTCACCTAGCCTTATGAAACAGAACAGGAAACCGTTCACTCACGAGGGTAATCCGCTATCCGTCCCGAGACTCAGTTGATTCTTCGCAAGAATCTCTCGCAACTGACTCGGAAGTTTTACCTTGGTCAAATGATCCGCAACTTGCTTATCTGTCGGCACCCAAAACACGGTAGACTTCGAATTCTCGTCATCGAACTCTTCGGCAACATGGGCTACCGCAGCGATGTCTATACTCAAACGCCGTTCCAACGTTGTGGATGGAGTCCCTTCTTTAGTTAGGATGTCATACGAAGACTTGCAATCCGTTGCCACCTTAATCGGCATGAAGAAACTCGGGAGCTTACCTGAAATGCCCGGCTTGAAGTCCCGAAACAAGACCTCGGCGAACAAATGACGCAGAAAGTAAGCCGTGTCCACACCAGCATCCATTGCCATTGCCTCGGCGGCCAAAGTACTTCGAACCACTCGACGAATACGATGAGAAAGCCAATCGAGTAGAGTAGCCGCTCCGCCTTCGGAAGTCAAGCTATCTTGATCTGACAAGAACACCATGAAACCAGCTTGACTTTGATTCTCCTGAGTGTTGGCCCATGCAACATCAATAAACGTGATGAGAACACTTCTCGTAAAATCCAGCGGCACAGCATATAGTCCAGCATATTGAGAATCTCGTGCTTCGCCTAGGATACGATTGATCGCCATTCAATTGGAAATCTTCGGATTCGAGCCTTGTCCAAGAGAAGTCGCAGCATCTAGATCCGGTCGCGTCTGACCAACCAACCATTGACAAGATCCCACACCACTCGCGAAATTGGTCTTCTCCTCGACGGTGAGCTCGGCCTCGGGCGTCGCAGATCTCCATCGCGGCAGTGGCGCCGGCACGCATTGACCACAGAACTCCTTCTGGTTGATGAAAATCGTGCCGTTCTCGTTCTTACTGAGGTGCTTGCCGCAGTAGGTCAGCTTGTTGTCCCACCATTTGCCGAAAGTGAACCTCTGGCGGATGGTCTCCAAGAGCTTGGAGCCTTCTCGAGCATCTGCGCCTCCGATGAGGTCGCCCACGTGGATGCCGATAATCATGATAATGCGGCTTGCCTTGTTGTAGACACAAAATAGGGCTTTGTCCAGCAGGCACTGCTTGCCACCGATGTGCATGAGAAAGTCACGAAGTTCTCGCCACCACAGGCGAGGGCTATTGACGAAACCGTAGATAGCACGTCGCACAAGTAGAAGAGCACCGCGTTGAACACCTGGAAGTCCTTCAGAAGGTTGTCGAAGGTGGATCGGCTTGTCGCGCTGGGCCTTGGTCTGATCGGCTTGCAGGAAGGCTGTGGCAACGTCGCCTCCGAACAAGTTGAAGTCCCAGCTCGAGATCGTCTGCAGCAATATGTAGAAACCAGCTCTTGTAAGTGTTGGTGCGTCACGCCTGAGTCATGATGTCGGGTTCGTTGTAGCCGATACCCACGATCCTCGCCTTGGCGTCGATCTCGGAAACTCCACGTCCGGCATTCTTGTCGCGGTAGCAGACTCTTGATGGAATAATGCGTTTCTTCTTCTCGGGGTCGCTCTCGATAGACTTGGACGTCTTCAGACCCAAGACCTCCACGGCTGAGAAACGTTGCCAAGATGACCATTCACGGGCCAGAGCTTCTCGAAATAGATGTAGCTGATCTGCAGGGATCTGCGAGTAGGGGACCTCACGAATGAGCGCCTTCTGGTCCTTCTTGGTCATAGTGAAGCTGCCGTTGTTGTTGAGGTAGACCTCGTAGGCTGGCGACTCGAGAATAGTGTACTGCTCGCACATGTAGATCGGAATGGCAGAGTTCTGCTCAGTGCCGTTGAAGCAAACGTAGGTCGCACCTGGGGCCAGTGTAGTAGGCGGTGTAGCTGGCGTCTCTGGTTCTGCGAAGCGGGGTCGCCGGGCAGCTCGAGCATCTCCTTCAGCGTCTTCAGGTAGTGGTCGAACAGCTGGCAGTATGTTGTCGTTCATGTTGTCCCCGGAGCCGCTGGCCTCGGGCAGCTGTCGTGGTTCAGCATGTGGCTGAGCAGGAGGTGGTAGAAGTCCTCGAACGTGTTCACGTCCTCCTTCATCTCGTAGAGCAGCGGCTAGATCAGACACGATCACATCGCTCGGGTCGATCTCGGCAGGTGGTACCGCACGTTCGTCGTGAAATCGTTCAGGTGGTGCTTGAGTAGCCTTGCGTAGCTCAGTCAAGTCCTCCTCATCAGGTATCCACAATTCAGTACCATGTGCTTCTCGGAGTTGTTCTTTTGAAACCAAGATCGGACGTCCTGAAGACTGTACCCACACATTGTTGTCATCGGCGCCGCCACTACCACCAGGACCAACCGCAGTAGCCACAATGAACCTTGCAGGGTATTGCTTGCCCTTCTTGTTCTTCGCTTGACGCCAGAAAGCCACTCGATCTCCAGCGGTGTAGTCTCCTCGGTAAGGTCGGTTAACTCGAAGCATCGCGCGCTTGAGAGACTCGGACCTGTCGTACTCGGTGAAGGCCATGTCTGCGAGGGCTCGTACCCGGGCTCGTTTAGCAAGCTCGGCATCTGCGGTCATGGCGCTGTGTACGACGGCAGAGTTGGCTGGGTCGGTGATGCTGTCGGGGATCCTCGGGTCCTTACCGAAAGTCCACTGATATGGTGAAGCACCGCATTGTCGAACACGAGAGTTGCGAGACTGGTTGATCGCAGGTGCCATCCGCTTCATGTCCTCGACTCCGGCAAGCTGCATCGTGTCAGTCACCTTCTTGGCCATGTGCTTCCAGAGCGTGATGTTCGCCTCGACTCGCCCTGGCTGCCAGCGAGCTTCAGCTGGGGGCTTCTCGACGTGAACGTCGTGAGCCTCAAGATGTTCAACGAAAGCAGCCTGAAAAGCTCCATCACGATCGCACACCACATGATCTGGATAACCAGCCCAAGACAACCAAGCCAAATTGAAAATCTCCAACACCTGAGTAGGATCACGAGTCGGACAATGAACCACCACCATTAGTAAACCTGACATCTCCAAAATTCCCAAGAACTGCCGTCGCAAGAGCAGAACCAGGTAGATAAAAGAAATCCAAACCAACTCGAGCATTGAACGAACCCATGTATGGAATCTTGGCGGGTCGTGGGCGTCGTGGTTTGACATTTCGTAAACATGAACTGCATCGCAGACGCCGACTGAGATCGATCGCAACCTGGCTCGCCTCGCTCGCGTTCAGGAACCTCGTGAAATCAGTCTGCAGCGGGTGGCTCAAGTTCTGGTGCATCCTGGCAACGACGGGGGCGGCGCGCTTCTCCTCCGGCGTGAGCGGGGGTCCAGCGAACCAGATCTCGTCGCCGGCACGTTGTTAAACAGGTTGAGGCTGAAGTTCATCTGGCTGTGGTTCGTCGGGCACTGGAACTGGCTGTCGTGATTCGCCTTCGACTGGTGGTCGAGGTGGTGCTGGTACTTCGCCAACTGGAGCACGTCCGATAATGAACAACCCGTATCGTACTGGATCTTGAAATCGTCCTCGTGGTGCGTAGGCCTCTGGGACGTACTCATGCTCGACGATGATGCGATTACCTTCGAGTAGAAGAACGGAACATCTATGAACATCTGGGCCGCACTCAGGTTTAAGACGCTTCGCCTTCGGCTGGAAGGCGGCCTGCATGTACAAGATCTGCCAGGGAACCAACTCGGACACCTGCTTCCGCATCTCTGAGTCCTGCGCCACCTGAGCTGAGGGGGCGCTCCTGCGACTCATGACGTCGACGACCGATTGCATGATGTTCTTCCATTTCGTCTCGTCCATGTCGGGCGCCGAATAGCAGACGTGGTGCACGGTGCGAGCTGGAGCGTCGTAGGAGACGGGGTAGTAGCTGCACAAGTAGATGCCGTGTCCGAATTCCTCGCTCTCGATGACCCTGGCGAGACCTCGGCAGATGGCGCCGGCTAGCTGCCAGGTGTAGACCTGTGAGAGCTTGGTGTTGCCATTAGGTCCGCCTCCTTGCACTTCTTCATGTGGATGGCTGTGGTCACAGTGTCGGTCGAGCTCTTGAATGAGAAGTGGACGCGTGCCCAACCAGCGGACCAGCTTCTTCATGGGGAGGCCCTGGTTGCCGACCATGCCGAACATGCACATATTAGAGGTGCATTCGTAGTTGTCCTTCCTGAGCTTGACGATTGCCTCCTCGCGCCACGAGTCGGCAGTAGCTGGATTCTCGAGCAGGGCGCGGTTGCCGTAGTCCTTCTGCTTGTCGAAGATGTCCTTCGTGAAGGTGATGAAGCACCGCTCCTCATCGCGTAGGCCCTCCAGCACCTCGGGCATCTCCTTGTAGTTGACGTTGCGGTTGAACAGCGACCAGAGTGTACACGGAAGCTGGATGACGACCAAGCGCGGCTGCCACTTGTCGATCGTCTCGAGCACTTCCTTCCTGGCCTTCTGCTTCTTCAAGTCCTGACCGAACAGCTTGTCCACCGGTTGTGGAGCTCGCATGCCCCAGCCGTTGGCGCGGTCGGCGGCGCGCAGGGTGATGCCGCACTCGCCCGCGAAGATCTCGTAGATGTCGAAGCCGCGTCGCTGGCGTCGTGGAAAACGGCTCTTCTGCATTCGGCTCTCGTAGACGCGCTTCTCGAGCTGCAAGCTGTTTTAGGCGGACTTGGCCATGCCGTAGTACCTCTTCGCCTGACCTGTCGTCAATTGGCTTCCGCAGGAGGTGGTCGCTCCCAGCTCGAGTCCTGCCCCTCGCCCATCGCCTCCACGCTTGGTGACCTCCTCCTTCGTAAACTCGCTGATCTCTGCGTCGCAGTTGGGCGCCCAGGCCGTGCCGAGGGAGGCGAGCGCTGAGCCGACGAGGAAGGCGGCGCGCATGAACTGCTTGCCGATGGAGCAATGCGATCGATCTTTGCGCCTGGAGTCTTTCGCGCCCCGTGGAGATTCCAAAAGACCACATCCGTCGCCCTGATCTGGTACTTCTCGCCCTTCCAGACCGTCCCGCAATAGAGGCACTCCTTGAACCTCCCGGCTGGAACTGTGTACTCGTGCTCCCCGTTGGTTGGATGGCAGCGCGTCTTGTTCGGATCCGGGTAGCATGACATCCTCGTCCGTGATCCCCTCCTGGTATCTGGAATGAAGCTGTCCACGGTCTTGTCCTGACACAAGATCTGCATCGCTGGAAACTGTCTGCAGAGAAAACTGTCGATCACCTTGTACCTTCGATTCCTGTCGAAAATTCTGAGGACCACAAACACTGCCTGAATGAGAACCGCCCATCGTGCCCGCAGGTCTTCGGTGGTGACCTTGGGAGTCCGTGGCATACACGGTCTCTGGATATGGAAAATGGAAATCGCTTGAGGCTGTCCTCATAGAATGACTTGGCACCGAGATGGCTCTGGAATCAATCGTGTAGTTTGCTTCGGCTGAGAACGGAACATTTCGATGGATCTCCGCGTCGCTGTTTCGCTCCTCATCGTCGTTCTCCTGGCGTATTTTCGTAAATCGCCCCGGACCCGGGCCCCAATCGTGATCTCTGAAATGCTCATAGAACTTGTCAATCGAATCGGGGGCGTTTCGACGTAGCTGAGGCACTGCTCGATCGGGTTCGGGCTTGCGGTGTCGTAGTTCTCGGTGCTGTCGTTCGGCTCGATCGCAATAATGTACTTCGTGGTGTTCTCGGTCGGCTCGGTCGGAGTGATGAACTTCGCGCTGATCTCGATCGCCTCGATCGGTGACGTGAGCTGACTGACGATCGCAGAGAGATAGCGAGATGGGATTCGACTCTCGCAGGCTGCGCTCGCACGCCGAAACTGCATAGGTATCAATCTCGAAGCCTGCGTCGACTGGAACACCTGTAACTGGCAAGTCGTCGATCCGAACTGCGAGATGTCCACTCTTAGACATCACAAGCTGTACGTTCGGAAGCTGAGCAGCCAGAAAATGAACTCGGGAACCAGCGAGGTCGATCACACAACCAAGATCAGTCATCAAGTCTCTTCCGCCCAAGAAAGATGAACGAGCCGTCGCCACATCATCAATCGTTGACGTGTGTAAAGCCATCGCACGTCTGTGAACTCCGACTGGCATTGACCAACGTTCTGTACTCGTCATCGGCTCGCCAGGACCGAAGCGACACTGTTCACGTTCGGGTTGAGAGCAGACCTGTAGACCCTGTCGGTCGAGATAACGTTCTTGAAATAATCGAAGACCTCGTAGTCCAGCGACAATCGTCTGGCACGCACTGTCGAGCACCAAGAGGTTGGCGTCGCTGTCGATGTTCACCGTGCTGAAAACGTCCTTCGCCATCGTCACCATGTAGATCGAGCGCTCCTCGTGAAAGCTCTTCGTGTTGAACTTCGTCCTCTGGCCGACGTTGCCGTACGTCATCATGATATGTCGCGCGTGATCGGGCTCTTGGTGCTGAACAGTATCTTCGTGACGTCGTCTCGTGGATGTTGTTGGTCGCCGCTAGGACCTGATGTACATGCTCAGATTCAGAAACTGCTGGTATTCTGTTCGCACTGTAACCGTGTCGCCGAAGCCGAAGACGCGCCTGAAGTCGTTCGTCCATCTTGATCGTGCTCGCGTTGACCAGCAGGCTGCTGATGGGCAGGTGGCCACCAGGCGTCGGAAGACTGCGAGGCCTCGTTCGCACTCCGCGTAGACGTCGTACCTGTAGATGTCCTCTTCGAAGCTGGCGCTCGGCACTGGCGGTCACCTGCCCAATGGCCGATCTCGCCGCAAGCCGAGCAGTTCGTCACCTTCTCGAGGTCCTCCAACGACATGCCACGTCGTGCCTTGCCTCCGTCGTTGCCCTTGCCCTTGCCGGAACGGTTCGGCCGGTAGCCCTTGCCGTGCTTACCTTTGCCCTTCCCGCCCTTCGCGTTGTAGTAACCTCGCGCTCTGTTGGCCTGGTTGAGACGATCGTGAGCCTGCTTGAACGCGACGTGAGCTGCGTGGATCTCTCTGGCCAACGCCTCGCGCAGTTGCTCGTCCCAGGAGTCGCCGGGATCTTCCTCCCAGCTGTTGTCGTACGAATCGTCGTATCCGAAATCTGCGTCGGTCACCTGCCAATCTTCATGATCGTGCTGGTAGTCGGGCTCGGTGACCTCCCTCTCGTACGTCTCCTGGTTCGTAACGCGAGCGCTGCACTGAGGTCGGTACTTGCGATCTCCTTGAAACCTGTTACGCGGCACCAGCGGCATAGGAAACAATATGGCCGCTTGCTCCTTCAGCGGCTTCCAGTCGAACTTCGAACCTGCTTCCAGAAATAATGTGGCCTGTGTCTTGTGGTCCAGCCGCGAACTCTTCATGAGCTGCCTGATGACGATCGGATCTGGGATGTCCAGATCGACCGACTTTGCCTGGAGCACCGCCTTGTCCACTCGAGTGGCGAGCTGAAGTAATGTCTCGCCTGGCCTGATGTGCTCCATGTGGAAGAAGTCGCCCATCGCGGCGCCTATCTTGACCGTTGGGCGCTGATCGAAGTAGGCCAACCTGTCGGGCAAGAGCTCCACGCCGTTCGGAACTGCAAAAACTGTCGGGCTCTCGTCCTCCACGTGATCGAAAGCCTTGTCCTTGAGCGCTGCACACAGTCGTGGTGCCATCTCCTCGGGGCCGGTGATGTTCTTCGCAAGCAAAACCCAGTTCTCGGCCTGCGCCTTGTAGCGTCTGAATATCTTCGGATCCTCCATGTTACCGTCGAACTCTGGAGGCGCAGGCAGGTTGCCACGAGGCCTGGAGCGAGGGTCATCGCGTGGATCACGTCCTTTACCTCGCTTGCCTCCTTTGGCCGAGAAGTCGTCATCATCGTAGTCGTCGCCCTCGTCTGCAGCAGCGCGGCCACCGGCAGGTGGCGTGTTGGGCGGCGTGCTTCTCCTCGACATGGCGGCACTGTCCGTAGGAAAGTTGCTCTGCGCTACCAATTCGATGATATCAAATCAAACCAGGGGTTTCTCGCAACCCTACTGGAGCGTGGCCCGATGCACAGGACCTTTGGGATCTCTGGCGAGAGGGCTCTTTGAGCCTCGAAACCTTTCTCGCTTGGATGCGCACAAGCGGGCTCTGTCGCCAAACAGCTCAAGGGCCCTCCGAAGCCCAGACGGCGGCGGAGGCAGCGGGTGAGAGGGAGCGAACGGGAGCAGGAACGGGCAACCAGTGAACATGAGACGTTAGAGAGGGGATTGGGGCAATGAGAAATGTGAGCGATATTGCATTCACATGCAGTCGGACCTCGCAACACGAACGGCGGCACGGACCGCCCCCGGCGTTATCCGCGCCGCCGTTGCGAGGTGCCTCGAGATGCCACCCCGAGATACGGCCACCGGCACCACCCCCACTTGGCCGCCGGCCTCAAGCAGCGGAGGCCCCGTTGCCCAAGGACTTAAGTTCCCGCGCCCCCCACGAGAAGGCGTGACAGCTCCCAAGGCGCCCCCTTGCCTTCTGACAAGGACGCCCCCCCCCGCCTCGACCCCGACCAACACTCGCTCCCAGACACCTCCTGGCGCCCACCCTGGGCAATTCTGTGAGCCAGGACCAGCCACGGCGACGAGAACCCCCAGGAACGCCGCCGAATTACCCCAGTGCGACCCTACCTAGGAGTTGAAGCCCCGAGGAAAGCAGCATTAGTAGTAACGGTTAACGCCGTCCTCCTCCTTCTCCTCATCGTCGTAGTTGCCTTTGCTTTTGCTTGTGTTTGCTTGTGCTTGGTGTTGTTTCTGTTTTGACCTCGCGAAACACACGCAGGTGTCTGCATTCGCTCACCGGGTGGGCTTTCTGATCGTACTGTCGCACATTGCGTTTGCTTTGCCTTTCCTTTGCTTTGCTTATGCTTTTGCTTTGCGTTGCGTTGCGTTGCTTGTGCTTTGCTTTGCTGTTGCTGCTGTTGATTTGCCTTTGCTGTGCTGCTATGCTATGATATGATATGCTATGATATGCTATGCGATGCTGCACTATGCTATGCTATGATATGCTATGATATGCTATGGTATGCTATGTTAGGCTGCGATATGTTATGCTACGCTAGACTGCGATATGGTATGCTAGGCTAGGGTATGCTATGAAATGCTGCGCCATACTATGCTATGCTATGCTGTGCTATGCTGCGCTGAGCTATGATATGATATGCTATGCTGCGCTATGCTATGCTATGCTGGACTATGCTATGATATGGTGAGCTAAGCTAAGCTCAGCTAAGCTACGGCTGAAGCTAAGCGAAGCTAAGATGAAGATAAGCTAAGCTAAGATGAGATAAGCAACGCTAAGCTAAGGGAACGTCACTGGGGGAACCGCGGGGCGGATCCTGGGGGAACCGCCCAGGGCGAGCCCCACTGCCCGGCCCCTTAAGCTTACAGGGTAAGAACCCTTCTAGGCAGAGCCTAGGTAGGGAACAAAAACAACTCCCTCGGCGGAGGACCTTCTGCGCGCTGGCCGAAGCTCCTGTCTGCCCCGCATCCGCCGCCCCAGGCGGCTTCGCCTTCTTGCCTGGGAGGGGCCGGAACTGTACACCGACCGAGCCGTCCGGTCGGCGAAGGAGCCTGGTGCATTTCAGAGGAGAAGCGGGGACCGCCGCCATCGGGAACCCGTCGGCGGGGAGGGGACGACCCCTGAGCGTCGTTCTGTACTGGATCACGCGCAAGCGCGACACCGCCCAGGGGTGCACCCCCCCCAATGGGTTCTCGGTGGCGATGGTGCATGTTTTCGCTCTGACATATATTCATATCCACCGCGTTGGGGTCGTGGTTGAGCACCTTGGGGGGTTGTGGATTTGGACATCTGCCCGCCGTGCCAAGCGGAAGAATATTCATACTCACCACTCGAAGGGGTCCCAGGGCACGACTCCGCAGCGGTGGATGTGGACAGCTTCTGTCGGCGGGATGTACCCGCCCCAGCAGCCCAGACCCCAGACTGTGGGATGCTGGAGCGTCTGCACACCTATTTTCTCCGCCGAGCTCATGGGCTCCTTGGCAAACCACACCCAAAATCCCGACGCTGAGATGTTACTCGCAAAGTGGGACTTCCAGAGGCCTCGACCCTGTCTCCCACACCGTCTTTCCGTCCCGAGCCGATCTGTCTCGATCTGTTTTACAGCCCCTGGGCCCTGGAAGGGCCTACATGACGGCGAAGAGAAACAGGATGCCCCCCTTCGCGACTCTGTCACGACGCGAGGAACGCTGGAGACGTGGGGTGTACCCCAACATCCTCCGATCTGTTGCTTGTCCATCCGCGGCCCGAGACCTCCCGACCCCTTCGCCCGGGGGTAGCTGTGCGTCATGGGCCCGTCGTTGCCTGCCCCGGGGCCCGACTGCACCCCGATTCAAAAAAAAAAAAAAACTTAACAAGCAGCGTAGTCGAAGGTATGGGATGTTCGCTTAGCCATCTGGAAGGGGGTGGCGCGAGAGGCTGGCGAGCGCGAGCGAGCGCGCCCTGAGCATTCAGAGACTGGCCTTAGGTCGGGCATGTCCCCCTACAGGGGGACCTTGGACGAAAAATAAAAAATACCCCCAAAATACCCCCATTATAACACGCAAACAATGTCAAATAATAGTCCCCTGGCTATTTTTTCAACTATTTTTGAATATTCCCCCTGTAGAGGGATAGGCCCGACTTAAGACTGGCCCCAATTGAGGGGAGGGCGGCAGGCCGCTTGCAGGCAGGCGGGCCCGCCTGCGGCAGCTGATGGGCAGACGAAGACAAGTCATGACCGCTTGGGGGGGGGGGAAGGACGCGTGAGAGCAGAGAGGGACGCGCGACGAGCGGGGACGAGAGGGGGGGGTCCAAAGAGGCGGGCGGGCTCCTTCGGAGGCTGGGGCCCTCTTAGAAGGGCCTGGCCGTTCTTCCAAGACGCCGCCTTCGAAGACGCCGGGAGCCTTCTAAGAAGGCCCCTTGCCTTCTGAGAAGCCCCGCCGCTAGGAGGGTGTGGCGCGAGAGGGGGGGCTTGTGAAAAGGCGGGAGCTCCTTCGAAGGCAGGGGCCCTCTTGGAAGGGCCTTGCCTACTCTTTAACGCCGTCTTAGAAGCCGCCGGAGGCCTTCTAAGGAGGCCCCTGGCCTTCTGAGAAGCCCCGCCGCCTCCTTAGAAGCTGACCCCCATCACGCCATCCCCCTCTTCGGGGGCGTCCAGGAGGGGGGTGTCCAAGAGGGCGGTCTGCAAATCACGGCCCGAGGCACCTGCGCGGCACGGGGGTGGGAAGGGCAGGGGACGCATTGAAGTAAGAAGAAGCACCATGAAGTATGGGGAGATACTATGGCCCCCGCCATGATATCCACCCCGCCCTAGTCATCACCCTGTCTTTCGAGGGTATACTCACCGGGGCCAATCCAGACCCGGGTCGGTCAGGCTTAGCAAAATCCTGCAACATCCTGCAGGACCCCTGCGGGATCCTGCACCCAAACCCGGATCGATGCAACCCTGGCCCTGCAGGATCTTGCAAGATCCAGCGCTCTGGCTGACCCCGTTTGCATTGACCTCCGTCTCTTGCGCCCCGAAGTCGGGGGTGGCCAAGAATCTTTGAAGGGGCCCTGGAACACACAAATAAATAGACACGAATGACAGGATTCCCCATATTTCCCTATATTTTCTGGGTTCTTGTCTTCCCCCCCGTTTCCCATATCTTCCCAGATGTTCTGGGAATCGACGATGAATTGTGTCTGTGTGTTGCTTTCCCACCTGAATCTTGGCCGCCCCCGACGTCTGGGCGGTGCCGGCCCCCCGAGGCCTCCGCCCCGCCGCGCGCCGAGCAGCGTGGGCAGGGCCCCTGGCGGGGCGGCGGCGGCGGCCTGCCGCCGAGGACTCCCGAGGGCCGCGCCCGCGGAGCTGGCCTGCATGAGCGACCGCACGTAGGACCTCGTGCCGCGCAGCCGGGAGTGGCCCCTTCGGGCGCCCGCCTGTCTGGAGGGGCCAGCAGAAGCCTCCGGAAGATGGCGGGTCTCACGCAAGATGGCGTGGCAACCTTGCGCGGCCTCCTTGCGCGGGCCGCCAGCGCGGCACGCTGCACTAGAGACGAGTGCGCTTACGCGCGACCTCACGCGGGCAGCTTGCGTGCCAGTGTCGGCGCAGACGACCCCATGTTTCTGCGTCGCTCAGTTGGGGTCGTAGGATCGAGCCGCATCGCCGATGCATCGCCGCTGCATGGGCGACGTCGGCGATGCAGCGGCGCCGACGGCGATACAGCGGCGCCAACGGCGCATAGAAAATCGGGATCCACATCGAGCCGCATCGGCGATGTATCAGGGATAGGGCACGATCCTCCGACCCTGTCTGCTCAGCCCCCATCTGGGAGGCCTAGACCTGTCCAGCAGGGCAAGAGCCCTGAGATCCGAGCGTTGAATTTTGATGCTTCACGCTCAATGTTTTCGCCCGGATCTCGGGCCATGGACGGGAAAAGTCGATCCGGCTCGAAAAATGCAGCAGAAAGATAAGGTCCATGGCTCCGGTCTTATTTTTTCTCAAGGTTGCGAGTTGTTCGCAACGTCGGATCTTAGGATATCTGCCCAAATCTCCAAGGATGTGATTGTCAATCTGGGCATGCGTCTCCTCGACGTCGGCTTCTGGGGGCGGCTGACTACAGAACGGATCTGGGGCGAAAACTACCCTGGGTAATAGGGAGCCCACAAAGGACGTACGCGCCCAGCTATGTACATGAACACGGCCCCTCGATCCGCGAGACTGGCCGCGTGATACGAACATTTGCGCAATGCGCACTCTCGAAACCAGCGTGGATTCATGTACATGTACGTCCGTCTTTCGAGTGGTCGGGACCTCTGGGGCCGTGGACTGGAGAACATTCGACTGCACGCACGAGTGACCCCTCGCGGGACTGACCTCTGGTGCGGGCCTGGTGTGATCCCACCTATCGTTGGACGCGAAGTGGTAGCAGCGGCTGGCGCGCTCTGTTTTGGCCCCCTCGCGCCCCCCGGTTGAAGCCGCGCACCAAAGGTCACTCTTGCCTAGGGTCTCTCGCGCGCGTAGCTGAAACATCCTATCGGCGGACGTCGGGGAATGCGGCATCAGCATGCACTTCCTGGAGCTCCGCGCGGACTTCAAGGAGCCCGCGCCAGAGGCCCCCCCCCCAGGCGGTGCGCTTCTGGCGCAGCTCCCAGGCGCGCCTCGCGCGTCATCGCATCGTGGGGGCCTGGCGGTCGGTGCAAGAGATCCGCGCGGACCTCTGAAGGGCTCATGCTTGTGCGCCGCTTGCTCAGACGAAGTCAGGGCGAGGATAACATCGGGCGAGGATGAATCGAGAATCTATGAGATCCAGCGTTGCGGCCTTCTCAGAGCGACCCGAAACGCTCTGAGGGCGTTCCGGAAAGCTCTGGAACGGATTTATCCTCGTCCTAGCCCCGCCCGATATGCCTTGCTCTTGTTCATCATTCCAGCGCCTGGCGCCCGGCGGAACTGCCGAGTGGGTCCTCCTGGTTGTTGCAGTCTGCGGACGCCCGGCGTGACGACCGGCGGGGCGCGCTGCCTGACCCGTGGCGGCGCTGGCGCCGACGGCCCCGACGGCCAGACCCACCAGCCAGCGTCCACGACTCACCGGTGCCGGCGGGGCTCCTGTGGGCGCGGCGCGGCAAAAGGGGCCCCGGACGCCGCGGAAGGCTTCGGGGGGCCGCGGCAGCCTCAGCCACCAGGCCCTCGGGAGGCCCCAGGAGCCCGAGAGCGGCGGAAAACCTCCAGGACGCGTTTCCCTCGGGTCCGCTGCCTTCACGGCGATATTCCTTCCCCGCATGCCCGCGGGTTTCCTGGAAGCGCCCGTGTTCCCGCCGGTGGCGTCGTCGCCCCCCGAGCCGTCGACGTCGCTCGGCTTGTCCTCCAGCCAAGGGGGGGGGGCCCAGAGCCGCCGCGCAGCCCCGCCGCGTGGGGACCGCGGCGGCAAGCCCAGGAGGAGCGGGACGGGACGTCATTCGAGTGTGTCAAGGGTCCCGCCTGGCCAGCGACTCCGGGGGAAGAGCAGGAGGAGAGGGGGGGGAGCAGGAAGAAGAGGGGGGCGCGACTGCAACATCAATGCGGACAACCTCTTCTGCAGCGAAGCTCGCTAACTGGGGCCGCAGTCTCTGGGCCCGAATGATTGCGGAGACAACGCAAATATCAATGGAGGCACACGGCATAGCAGCATAATCGTTGAAGTGCCTGGCACACACGTGCCCAGCGCTTGACCACCAAGATGGCGGCCTAGCGTACATCAAAGCCCGCTCAGGTCACGGTTCATCCCAGGATCGATTCAGCACCACTTATGTATAATGGCACCAGCCTTCCAGGACGAAGTTCCTGCGATGAGTGTAGCCAACATTTTCTTTCTCGACCTGGTGTGCATCGAACCCTTCTCGGATTTTTGTCTGCACCGGGCGATCCGCTTCCCCTCAAGGCGGACACTATCGCAACGAAAGTGCTCTAGAGTGGCCGGCGGGGCTGACGTCACCACATTCAAGGGGAGGAGGAGGAAGAGGAAGAAGGAGGAGAGAGGGAAGGAAGGGAAGAGGGGGGACGAGGAGGGAAATGACCGCGGCGCACAACGCGCGGCGAAACCTCACTGGGCGAGGGCGCGGCCGCGGGGTGTGAGCCACCCGGCCCCGCCGTTAGGCGCGCGCGCCCGCGCCTTAAAATGAGGACAGGGGGAGGGCGGGGAGGAGGAAGGAGCAGGAGGAGGAGGAGGGGAGGGGGCACGTGCGTGCGTTGGCCAAACTTAAGCGGCCAGACAGGACATCCTAAAGGGACCGCAAGGGACCTTCTCGGACCGCAGGGCGTACATCCCTGTTTTCATCAGGTCCACCAGCGGCTCCATGTGCCCACCCTTGTCTTTGGTCAGCGCATTGGCTGGGTGACGGTCATGTAGAATCCACCCGGCTCGGCCAACCGCAAGATGCATGAACTCCTCGAAGATGGGCACCTCATGGGTGATTCATCATCGTCGCCTGGCAAGACAATGTCCAGACCGTCGCGCAATCCGCTGAAACCTGTGATCGGCATGGGTTCTGAGTCACAGATTTCGGCCAGCTCACACCTGCTCGCGTGAGGTTTCGGCCCCCGTGTCGGCATCTGTCGACGCCTCATAGACACTGTGCCGAAGTCCGACCACATAAAGCTCTCAAGCATGACCGTGACCCGCACATCGTCGACCAGGGCCTCCGACGCTGCGTGGGTCTCGAATAGATGGACTCTGCGCTGTCCGAGTATGCTTCGCGCTTCTCCCAATGGTTGATCGACATCTTGGCGCGGCGACCAGCGTTCATGCCCTTCGCCGCGATGCCAATCGAGAAGCCCGACTGGCGCCGCTCGCGCCCGGGCGCGCCCGCACTCGAGTCGGCAAAGATCTCGATGAGCTGGCCCCAAGGCCTGACCCAATGCGGCGATTGACGCGCACGGCGCCGCGACGCGTTTCACCGCTGCGCGCGCCCCGCAGGTCATATCGAAAGTGCGCAGGCATGTTGCTAGCCGCGGCTTGCCTGGCCGCGGCTGCCAACCAATAGACTCAGCCCACTGATCCTCGCTCTCGGTCCACCGCAACCTCGTCGACCTCGGCGGCGCTACCCAAGTAGGCGCGCTCGACGACATCGGGGCGAGACGTTTCTCGGCACACTCCCTCATAGAGCGGGTCAAGCAGCAGCCCTCGCGCCGCGCGACGCGCCAGCCAATGGTGAGGGCCCTGCAGCCAACCTGGCGCACGGCCAGGATCTTCCCGAACTTGTACTCGTTGCAAGATTGATGTTTGGGGTGCCTCGCTTGGTGGGCGTCACGCCGCCACAGCTGCAAACTCGAGGCCAACGGCCCTGGGGACCCGGCAAGAGCCGGCGGTCGGCGAATCTCTAAGCCTCCACCGCACAGGCACCGAACGGAGAGGCTCCCTGCCTGACCGCCGACCGCACCTGTGCCAGGAGGTCTAGCAACTCGCCAACCGCCGAAAGGCCCCAAACACCAGGAATAAAGTACTTCCCCCCAGGGCCAAACCGAGAACCTGACCTAGAAGGCGGCAGCCAGGGGATGGACGAAGGGCCGTTTGAGCCGCACACCTAAGGAACCGACGGCGGCTCACCCCACGAGACCCCGAACAAACCCCCAACTACTGAGGTGTTGTATATCATGTTTGGGGGACCTCTCTTCTTGGGCGTCGCGCCGCCACAGCTTTGGAAGGCGAGGCGCAAGCAAACTCGAGGCCAACGGCCCTGGGGGCCCGGCAAGAGCCAGCGGTCGGCGAATCTCTAAGCCTCCACCGCACAGGCACCGAACGGAAAAGGCTCCCTGCCTGACCGCCGACCGCACCTGTGCCAGGAGGCCTAGCAACTCGCCAACCGCCGAGAGGCCCCAGACACCAGGAATAAAGTGCTACCCCCCAGGGCCAAACCGAGAACCTTCCACGTTCCCCTTAAGTGGCTTGCCGACCTGATCTACTCTACATTACAACGTTCTTGAAATCTCTCTCCAGCGCAAAGCGGCACACTGAACTATTTTCTGGAACTGAGCAAAAGGGTGAGCGCAACGGTGTCAGGAACCGCTCGCGAAAGGTACATCCTTGCAGTCTGTGTGCCGCCCCATCTGCTCTGCTGGAGAGTGAATTCCATATTCTTGCAACGTGAAATGAGCTGTAGCGCCTCCTCTCCGGAGGCTATACATGGCGAGACCTCTATTCTGAAGATCAAACAAGCGCAGCATGATGTCCAGCCGACGTCGCGCTTCAGAAGCGCTCAGCTCACACACAAGGTCATCTGCTTCCAGAGTCAAACACTGAGCCTTGAGAACGCTACGACTGACCCTATATTTCAAGCTGACCACTTCTGAGAAACCAGTTCTGAGGCCCATCTTGGACGCCTCTGTGTGCAAGATAGCTCTATCATCTTTGCCCAGGACATGCCGCCTTCGCAACGACAACAGTTCTCCTGTTCGCATGACGGCGTGAAAACCGACGAGGAGCACCGTGGCCATGCCAAACCAGCCCAAGTCCCAGGCTGCTGCCGACAACGCCAGAACTATCTGGGCAGTAAAAGGTGTAGCCCGGCAAGCTGTGCACTGCTTCTCCCACGCCCTGATCAGACTCCAGCTCTACTGCAAGTGACCGCGATGAGAAAGTACCAACCACTGAAGAGCAGCTCCCGCGTTGACTACCACATGCAATGGCTCCAACTCGGCCCAGCAGGCCTCAATGTATTCACTGAATATCCGATCGATGTCATGCACGCGAGGCAACCGCACACCAAGCGAATCAACGGCCCGCACAGCGAACATATCTCAGCCTGGTAGCCTGTGTGATCTGCAGATCTCGTAGCTCAGTACCTCTTGCGCCCAACTGAGACCTCACATGCAGCCAGCTGCGCCGTCTGTGAGCACCGCGGCCTACTTGGACTCGTTCCGGCGCCATTTCTTAATCAAGAACTCTCGTGGTGGCCGATCATCAAGGTTCAACTTCGTGTTGATGTAACCGATACCAACGTACAAGTCCGAGCTCACGACGATGGCTGCGCACTGGAGTGCCAATCCTCGCAGCTTGGCCGAGGATGTGCGCCCACGAGTCAAAATGGAGGCCACCACCTGCGAGTCCACCAAGTGCAGAACCCTGACGCTCCGGAAGGCCGCGGTCCTGGCCCGGTGCCTGAGCGAGGCGTGGACCGCCTTCAGCTCCAGCGCGTTGGCGCGGAGATCCGGCGCCGCCTTCGGCCACGGGAAGGACAAGGTGGGCCTCCACTTCCAGAGGGCCGGGTCAATCGACGACCTGGGCCACGCCTGTGGCCTGAACGGCACTCCGATGTCGAGGCGGACGTCGCTCCCCGCCTTCTCGGCTTTCGCCCAGAAGATCTGCGCGAGCGTCTGGTCCAAGGCCGTCTCGCGAATAGATCCCCTAGTGAACTCAACCCTCTCGTCCAACAGATCCTTGACCTCCAGCTTCAAAGCGGTGCGGGAGAGGTCTTCAACACTGATCTGCCAGCCCAGCTCACGCTTCAGCGCCGAGGAAAGCCAGCTGACGACACTGCAAACGCGTTACCGATGAAGCAACACCCGGCTGTCTCGACGCTGGAACAGCTAGAGCCCGAACTGGCTACAGCTGATGCACCATGCTCAAGGAACCCATCAGCACCTCCCGTTCTGTAGAACATAAGGGTGTGAGGCTCAATCATATGGACTAGTTCGTACTGGCACGGAGGGTACGCATGTCGATCTGATATCCACCTCTGGATGGCCTCGGAGCTCGCTGAGGAAATCCCAGCGGGCTTGCAGGGAGCGCACTTCTCACGACGTCGCAGTAGAGCACACACCGGCCCCATCTGAAGATGCTCTCGCACAGCCCGAAGACACCCAAGAATCCGCCTGAGCCTTAGGGATCTCGATGGCCTTGATGAGGTCATAGTTGGCCCTGGGCCCCACAAGCACCCCGGGGACCTCGAGAAAGAATTACACGCACTGATGGGTCGCACTTGTAGCACCCGGTTGAACTCCTGGACGGACTCAGCGCACATGGAGAGAACATGTTCTACGAATCAGTGCACAGGAACGCTCATCACCTGGACCAAGGAGCGCACCACCTGCGGGATGCGCACAAAAAGCCCGCTGCGCGCGCCGTGAGCCAGCGGCCGGTCAGCGTTGTTTCCGCGACCATCTTGGCACGGGCTACCTCCGGCCACAATCGCAGCCACGATGCGATCCTGGAAAACCGTCAAGGCCTCGAGCTGCCTCTGCTGGATCTCTTCCACAGGGCCCAGCTCGATCAGCCCCGGCCGACGTGAGCGCAAAATGCGCCTGGCTCCCTTGTCGACCTCGCTGCTCATGTAGCCTCCGAGTGCAAAACCCGCTCGCGCCAGCGAGACAGCTGCTCCCCCGATGCCGTCGAACAGGCTCACCGGCAGGACGCGGGGCGGCCACTTCCTGTCGGCGCAGGGCTCCGGCGGCGACTCGACCACGCACTTGCCGCAGTACCCGGCGACGCGGTGGGCCCAAGTCTCGGAACTCCCCAAGCTGTTCAGGAAGGGCCCCGCTCCGTCGGCCAGACCCGCGGCGGGGCACGTGCCGGCGCCGTCCTCGCTGGCGTCGGAGCAGGAGACGACCCCCGTGGCCCCCGCCCTCAGGTTCGAAGAGGCCAACGGCAGCAGCAAGCACGCGTGCATCAAATCGCCCAAGCAGTCCCGCGGGAGGGCAGTCCGGCCCGAGCCAATCAGCTCCCACACGGCATTGAAGACCCCGAACAACGGCTGTCGAAATTCAAGCACGACTCCAGCGGCCCATGAGGATCAGCAGCTAATTCCCCAGCGGGTGGTCACTGGTAAGCAGCCACAGGGCGAGGCCGCACAGCTGCGCGTTCTTCTCTCGGTTGCTGGCCGCCCGACCAAAGACCCCAACGACCTCGACCCCCATCCGGGTGACAAGGACTTGGCGCTGGTTGGCCTTGTTCTCGCTGATGGGGACGGAGTTGCTTCGGAAACTCTCTCTCATGCGAGCCTGGAGGCGGCCGGGCGACCCGATCAATGGCAAGGCAGCCTTCCATTCAAGGGCCTCGCCAGCATCGAAATCGCCAATGCAGGCACTCCACCAGTCTCGCAAAACCCAGCAGGCCAGCGGGGCGGCCGCCGCAGCCGGCACAAGACGGTCTCTCCTCCATCCCCTCGCGGCAGGGAGCGCGGCCCCGTCGGGCTCATCCAAGAGGGCGACTCCCCAGTGGATGCTCTGGAAGATGGGCACGCTGTACACCCAGCCCATAGGGGGCACCGCCATGGCCAGCCAGACCTCCTTCGCATTTATCCCTAGGACGTGGCCAGGAACAGGAGTGCACACCGCCATATAGCCCAACCCAAGCTCAGGGATGCGATGCATGAAGAAGGCCCCCTTCTGGTCGCCCCCGCTCCCGAGCAGGGCCTCCTCTGGCCCCAGCGAGATACTGACCCAAGCCGGGGAGAGGGCCACCGTGGACGAGTCACCCGCCATCGGCTTCAAGTAAGCGTTGGTCGGGACCACGTTGAAAATCCATCTCGTGACCTTGCTCGCTCCGGGCCCGGGAGCACCGGTCTTGGAGACTGCGAAGAGGCCGCTGGCGCGGTGACCCTCCGCCCATGCGCCTGGAAGATCTTATCGGCGGCCATGGGCTTGAGTTGCTTGCGATCCATCAGCTTCGCGGCGATGAGCCACGCGCCCTCGACCCGCTCGACGTTCACCTTGGCCCTCGGCGGCGCAGGTGGCCAGTCAGCCTCTGGCAGCAGAGAGAGAGCTCGGGCGTCGCGAGCAGGCACTGCAGGTCTGGCCCCACATACTCGAGGACGCCCAGGCAGACGATGTCCTCGGCCTTCGGGAGCCCCGGCCCGAGCTCCAGGAAATTGAGCGGCAGGGCCTGGCAGTCCTCGTCGAGGTTGTAGCTGGTCCGGCTCTTCAGCAGGTCCTGAGGCCATCTCGCCTACGCGCCAGTCGACCGTCTCACCGATCACGCGCAGGCGAGCCAACTGGACCTGGGAGCAAGTTCCAGCAGCTCTCCAGCGGCCCTTACTGAGATGGCCCAAGTACAAGTAGTTAAAGCCCATGACGCTGCGGAAGGTCCAGACCTGTCCGGCGATCTCCTGGGCTTCAACCTTCAAAGAGTTCGTCCACCTCTCTACGTTGACGGGGGACCCTTCACCGTCTGAGCAGACCTCTGCTCGTCATATCTCGTTCCCAAGCGAGTAGGGGCGTCGGCCCCCTCACTGGTAGTGGCAACACATCGCGTCCAGCACCAGCCTCCGACAATTGTGGCGCGACGCCATTCGGAAAACACCTCAGGATGTCGCCGAGCTTGCTCGGCAACCTTCGCACATGGATCAGAATCCCGAAGCCGATCTCCAGCATTGCCATCGTGCAGTCTCTCGAGCGGCACAGGCGGGAAAAAGCAGCAGCCTTCCACTGGCCAGGGTCGAGGTCGCTGCAGGCTGCTCCGCCGACCCCCCCACCCCGAAGGACACGGCGTCAGCGCCCCACTGCGCCACCGCCACAGCGGGAACTGCACGGAGGGGAGGCGCCACCGCCCCGCAGGGCACGGCACCAGCAGGCTGCCCAGCCGACGCCACCGCCCCGAGGGGCACGGCGTCGGCAGCCCCCTGCGCCACCGCCACGTCGGGCATGTCACGGAGAGGCAGCGCCACCGCCCCGCAGGGCACGGCACCGCGCGGCAGCTGCTCCGCCCCGACCTCTGCTGTCACACACCTCAGCGCTCCAGCTGAACCACCCGCCGCGGCGGGCCACCCTTCTGCGGGGCGTTATTGGGTCCAGCCCTGGGCTTGAAGAACTCCTGCGCGATCCTCTTCTTGAGCTGCTTCCTGCCCCCCCCCCCCCTCGGCTCGGGGCGCGTTCGCCCGAGCCGAAGCCCACGCTGACAGGGGCGACCCGCCCACCGCCTGGGGGCTCCGGCGGTCTGTCAGCGCGGGCAAGGCGCCCCCCAACGGACGGCGGTGCCGTCGGCTCGGCTAGCGCCAAACTCTGGCGGCCAGCGGGAGGGCGTAGTCCACCTCGATCTCGTAGTCCAGCTGCAGCAGCCGGCGCGCCGATGTCCGCAATCGGCAAGGCTCCAGGGCCCAGACCTCCACCACGGCGCTGGCCATCGGGAAAAGGCGGCAAGCCAGTACCACCATCCCGGCCGATGTCCTAGCCGCGGCCGCCCAGCTTCCCCAGCAGCTGGGCCATCCTGACCTCCGCCGCCTCGATGCCGGCACCCTGCTCCTCGTCCTCAACCAACAAGCTGAAGTCTCCGCTGTCGGGCGGGATCAGCTCGAACCGCTTCGCCGTTCGCGCGCGGCCGTCCCTGATCGCCTTCTGCAGCGCTTTGATCCTGCAGAAGATGTAGTCCAGCGCGTGCACAGACTTGCCCTTGACGATCAGGTACTCGCACAGCGTCCGCGGCACCCTGTACCTGTCCTCGCCAATCTCCTTGATCGAGTACGCGGGTCGCAGCACCCTCAAGGTGGGAAACGTCGTCGTCCCCCTCGTCTGTGTCCCAGTACTGGGCCATGTTCTCCATCTCCTTCTCGGCTAACCGGCCTGGCGCCTTCTGCGCGGTGCGCTCGTAGGCGAGCCTCTTCGCGGCGACGGGCCTCTCCAGCAATCTGCTCCTCGTCGCTGTCGAACGGGTCGCCAGGCCCCTTCTTGCGAAGGTAGTTCGCCAGCGCGCGCAGCACCGCCTTCTCACCCGAGCCAGCCTGCCCACCAGTCGAGTAACTGGAAGCGCCCGCGGTTGGCAGCATCTGGCCCGCGATCCTGCTCCGAATCAACTCACCGTGCTTCGAGCGCTTCTTGCCAGCTCCCTTGCAGCGTCGCCGGGCCTCGTCGAGCTTGGTCCTCAGCTCGGCCAGGCGCTCGCGGTAGCCGCCCATCGCCTCCGGGGCGGCGGCTTCTGCCCTGCCCTCCAAGGCTCGCAGCTCGCGCTCCAGCTCCTCGAAGGCCCCGTCGTTTGCCAGCTTCTCGCCGTCGAGCTCGACGAGGTCGCTCGGCCCGTCAGCGGCCGCAGGGCGCTTCCGAGGGGGAAAGTCGGCGCCCTCGCCGCGGGCGCTGTCAACAGGCACAGGCTCGACCACCGCCGCGGCCAGCTCGGCCGCAGCAACGTCCTGCGGCAGCCCAGGGCAGCCCTCGTACTCCTGCAGCATCGCCACGCGGATGTCAGCCGCCCCCGCTGGAGAAAGTCGCTGAGGGGCCCTCGCGCGCAGGACGGAGATCCCCGCTCCTGGCCCTCGATAAAGGCAGGAGCTCCCCAGTCCCTTGCACACGTGTAAATAGACCGCCTGGTCACGACCACGGTGGAACTCCAACCACCACGCGAGATACGGGTCGGTCGTCCCGAAGCATTCCATCCCGAGCGCCGCCCCGCCGGGGTTGTCCGACACCACGCGCCTGATAACCCCTATCACCCGGCCAGCGTCGGCCCCATCATCGCGCTGGACGGCGCGGCGCAGGCACAGCCCGGGCGCCGGCTCTCTCGCCAGCTCCATCCGAACGCCGCGGCGCCGCGGCCGCGAGAGGTGGGCGGCCCCTTGCTCGCACCTCTGAAGCCGGAGGCAGAGCCGCGGCCTGGTGGCCCGTCGGCGCCCTGCAGGGGCGGGCGCTCAAATTGGGCCCCAGGCCTTCGGCGCGCGAGCTCTCGAAAAGGACAAAGCCAGAAACCCTCCGCTTGAGCCGCACACCTACGGAACCGACGGCGGCGCACCACGAAACCCCAAACAAACCCCCAGCTCCTGAGGCTTCCACGCGGTCGTCTGCGTCCAGCGCGACGTCGCCCTCGACCTTGCATCGCCTGGGCCTCAGCGAGAACAAGCGCATGTCGCAAGTGGGCCCGCTGGCTGCCGAGCCCGCGGAACTCCTCGACGAGCGCGGCGCACAGCCGAGCGGGCCCGCTGACCCGGCCACGCATCATCTTGAACCTCCGTCTCGCACATCCAAAGCTGACCCAGCCTCATGCCCGCGCAGCCGCGACGCGGCTGGGCGCCCGCCAAGCGCCGCTGTCGCGCGGCAGCTTGGGCCCAAACGACAGGGCCCATCACGTCGCTGCTCGCGGCCTCGTGCTCCGCGCCAACAACCAACTGCTGCAATTATATGAGCGCTTCCGACGTTGGCGCTGGCGCCCTCCTCTGCGCACTAAGCATGCCCGGGTCTCGCCACCCCGGGACGACCTATCGACTCTTAGCCCTTACCAACCAATCACCCCAAGGCTTCCAGCGATCCACGGAGATGGGCGGCAGCGCGCGCCCGGGGCTCTCAGCCGTCCACTTCTGCGACTCCGCCACCGACATAGGCTGGAAGGTCTTGAGCTCGATCAGCGCCTGGATCTCCCCGGCTAGGCTCGCCTCGCATGTCTCGCGGCCCTTGCCTTCGAACTGCTCGATCGCGATAGCGCCGCCCGCCCCGGGTCTCTCGACCAGCCGCCAACCTCTCCTGTAGGACGCGGCGACCGCGCGGTCAAGCGACTCAGCTGCCCCCATCAAGATCCCAAGTCTGGCCACCTGCAAGCGAAATCGCAAGCGCGCCCCTCGTCGCCCTGCTAGCTGCTCCCCACGCAACCACCCAGGCTCAACTCGCTTGCGAAGAAGCGAAGCGCGTCCTGGACCATCGCGAAGATCTCAGCGGCCGCGGGGTCTCTCGATGACGGCCCCAGCGGTTGCGTCGCCCACCCCCGGCCAGCGCGGGCGCGCCCCCCATCGCGCGAGACGCGCCGTGGGCCGCTGGCAAGGGCGCCACCGCCACGACGTGCGGGTCCTCCAGCTGGCTCCTAGATACAGCTCCATATCTGGGATGCCAGCATCGATGGTCGCCCGGCCGCTCGCGACTGACGGCTCGATCTCTGGTTGAGTTGATGCAGTGAGCGGGGCATGAGAAGCGGCTGCCTGGCGGGTTTCGATGACGGCCTCATCCCCGGGCGCGGCTGGCAGAGGCGAAGGCGGGACCTCCCCCTCCATGTCGCCCTGGACCAGGTCGCCGATCCTGCGCGCGGGCGGCGCCGACGAGAATGTCATGCGCCGTGCCGCCCTGAGCATCTGCGGCAGCGGCGAGCTCGGACGCCGTTGACGACGCGGCCTCGGCGTCGCCCAGCAACCCCATCCTCGGCGACCGCGCGCGCCCCCCGTGTCCGGAACGACGCAGGTATGCCGGCGACTCCCTGCAAAGCGCGCCCACCACCTCGGCGCCGACGCACTGCTCGTCGGACGCCAGCCTCACTTGCTCGGCCGAGACCTTGAGCAGGACGCCGCGCATCGCGATTCACGCCGACGGATGTTTGGCATTGATGGCGACCGCCACGCGTGGACCAACCCAACCCACACACGAATGTGAAACTTCTTGCTGGCCCTCCAGAAGCACGCCGCGTCGCTTTCGCGGTGGCGGACCTTCGGCCGAGACCGGGGCGGCGCCTCGGCGGCATCTCGCAGCGCCAGCGACTCGCCCTGCTCGAAGAGGGCCGTCTGGAAATCTCGCCTGATCTCGCAAGCCCTCGAAAACTGAGGAGCGACGCCGACAGTCGCCGAAAGCTTCTAAACACCCTCAGGCGGGCGCTGAAACCTGCCGCACAGATTGCGCGACCCGACGGTCGCAACGATGGCCAGGTCGACTCTCCGCCGCCGGGGTGCAACGACGTGGCCGATGACTCCATCCGCCACTGGCAGACCCTGAAGCGCTGCCCTGGTGAACTCAGGGCCCTGGTCCATGATGGCCAAGCATGGCCAGTCGCAGCGCGCGGCCCACTCCGCGGCAAACTCTCTCGCGACCTCCTCGGAGGTCCGTCCTTCGACGCGAGTCGCCCCCTCCGAGCCAATTCCCCGGCGCGCCGCGCTCGTGGATATCATCTCCACGGCGGGCGCGAATTCCACGACGAACAAGTGCACGCCGACCGCGCGGTTGAACGCGAGACATCGCGGCGACGGGCTCGCCAGCAGAGGCATAGGCGCGCCCGCGCACACCGCGCACTGCAGGCGTCGCCACGCCCACAGCACCAGGTGCCCCCCGACGACAACGGCGCGACGCAGCGCCCTCGCCATAACCTCGTTGCGAGGGCCTTCACCGACCGATGCGCTCGCCACACTTCGCGTTGCTCGGTGGCGCAACCTCCCTCATGACTGGACCGCCGTCGAACGGCTCGGTCGCGGGCGATGGGGCCCTCGGTGAGAACGGGTTTCCGGACTGCCCGCGTCGTCTGCGATAAGTCCATGGGCGGACGCGCCTGCTCGGGGCATCTGAGAACATCGGCGACGAACCCCTCGAATGGCTGGAGGTCGTCGGCGGTTTCGCACGCGCGCCGCGCCAGAAACTGACCTGCACTGCCAGGAAGGCTGCCCCAGCGATCTCGTGGACAAAAAGCGACTCGAGCCTCCCCGGAGCCCCATCCGCATGCTATGTGCTTCCTCTGCCACTTAAGCATAGCGCGGCAGAACTTCTCCAGCCGATGGTCCCCGAGCGATGGCGCCTCTTCTTGCGCCGACCCTTCGCGGCATTTACCCGATCGTAAACACGCGTCGACAAGGCGCCGGTTGACCTCAGGTTGAGCTGGCCGCCCACGTCCACTCACAGGCCGCGCGAGCAAGTGCGCGTTCTTTCCAACCCCGCCACGGTTAGAGCTCGGGCGCGCGCTGCAGCGCGCCCACTGACCACGAGCCCGCTGGCCATGGGCGCCCGGACAGAAACCCTCGACCGTGATTCCACTCGTAGATGGGATGCGCCCCCAGCAGAGATTCAGGCGCCCCACAGCGCACTGGCTTACCCTCGCGACATCCTCGGCAGGACGTTTGTTGTCACGGACGGCAGCTGGGGCGCTGTGGCCTGCCACGACTGGTAACCCTGCGGGCGGTGGCGCCATCGGCGGTACTGCGGCGCGCGACCAGCGCGGGCGTTGCTGGCGGCAGCTGGTCAAGGGGGATTTCGAGGAGGCTGCCACCCTCCGTCGGTGCCCGTTTGTCGTCCTGCCGTGGTGCTCTGAAGCGCAGTCGCTCACAGTCAGCTCTCTTGAGGGCTGGGCTGGTCACCACCAGTTTCCTTTCGAAGGAACTAACGAAGCAAAATGGAGAGCAAGGTGTTCGCGTTTCCGTGGTACGACGCGTTTGAAAATTAGGTTGCTCTCGTATCCGATCTGGGCGTGCTGCCTGGTGGCCCCTCTGCAGGTACACGCAAATGATGTGAACCACGCTCCACCCTCTCATTGAAGACTGCACCAATAACAATGACAATTGACCACGGATGGTAGGATCATTGCCGGGGAGGGCATTTCCCATTGCCGCACACATCAGCGAGATCCGCTAAGGATCTTGAGCCGAAATGGTTACAGCTGGGGGAGGGGAAAAGACGTGGAAAACGAGAGCTGGAGGGAGGGACAAGGAAGAAGGACGGAGTGGGGAGCACGGAGGAAGCGAGGGACGAGAAGGAAAGGGTAGGATAGAGGGGGAAGAGCGGAGCGGGAGAAGGGGATCACCAACTCCTCCCCCAAGTTCCCTGGAAGCCCCCCAGACAAAGAAAAACTCGAGCACCCGCGTTCTCCCTCTTCATTATCCTCTTCCTCCCCTCCCTCCTACTCATCCTCCTCCTCCTCCTCCTCCTCCTCCTCCTCCTCCTCCTCCTCCTCCTCCTCCTCCTCGTCCTCCTCGTCCTCCTCGTCCTCCTCGTCCTCAACGTCCCCTTTTTCCTCCTCCCTGCGCCTCCTGCTCTTTCATGACGAGAACGACCACCACCACCACCACCACCACGGCGGCGGCAGCGAAGACGGCGACGAGTCCGACAACGACGACGAGAAAGGCGGAAATGCCGCGCGGAGGGCGGCCGCGCGGCGCGGCTCCAGCACGTCGAAGCACACCGTCGAGGACATCCAGGCATCCTGCCCGCCGACTCGTTCGCAAGGCAGAGGGTCGGTCCCGTCCGCCCTCCACTCTTACTCCTCCTCTTCCTCCTCCTCGTCCGTATTCGTATTCGTCGCAGTGTCCTTCTCAATAGTTGTCTTGGCACTATACTATTACTAATTGATGTTGTTGTGCTGGGTACTCATGGTATTACGATTCGAATTTTGATTGTTATTACGGCTCGATTCAAGTCCATCTTACTACTATGTATACCATCATTGGTAATACGATTACTACGTATTAGGACTGGTCTGTTTAACTACTCTTACTCGTATGATCATTCGTAGAATTAGCTTTCAGAGCTGTACTATTACGAGGGATGATAGTAGGTGTTAAAGTGATCGTCTGATTCGCATCTTAGAATTATCCATAATAGTACGCGTTTTCTTGATGTACTGAATATTAGCATTGTTGAAAATATGCTTATGCGTATTCGCGCTATCCTTCTCATTATTAGTACTCGAGTTACAATTGAGATAATTATTCCTCCTCCTCCCTCCTCCTCATCCTCCTCCTCTTCCTCCTCCTCTTCTCCTCCTCCTGTTCCTCCTCCATTCCTGTTCCGCATGACCAAATCCGCCCTGTCGCACTCCGATGCCAGTCGGAAGGGCGGGCCGGGCCGGGTGCTTCGCCTGAGACTTCCGTACCACGTACGAGAGTGAAGCTCAACGATTGGCAATCGTTTCACAAATGGAGGGCGGGTCGTTTCGAAAATCTGGCTCTCGCCCAACGCCACGTACATTCGTTTTGAACAGTTGCAAGATTCTCACGAATTGAGGGCGGGTCGTTTTCAAAATGTGGCTCCCGCCTTCGCATTCGTTTTAAAGACGTGGAGGAGCTTCACGGATTGAGGGCGGGCCGTTTTTAAAGGTTGTTCTCGCCTAGCGCCACGCACACTCGTGACAAACAATTGACCGAATTCAATATGTTTCCAGGGCTAACGAACCACATATGGTGCGTGAGAGACATTCAAGACTGTCAGGGTGCAACGAATACGTTGATTCCCCTTGTTGAAAACCCAAAAATGGCGTTCCGGCACGATTCAGGATCGTCAAGACGCATCAGTCTGGTTGACTTGTGGCGTTGAAATCGTGTGAATGGTGTGTCGGCCGTTTCCGGATTTTCACACGGGCGTCTCCCAACGGGGCTCAACCCTAAGTGGAAACGAGCCCCTTTGTAGGGCCCTTCGAAAAGGGAGGTTGGGGGGAGGGTATGAATTGTTGGTTCAAACTGGTCCTCCTCGTCCTCCTCCTTCTCCTGTTCTTCTTTTCCCTCTTCATATTCCTCCTCCTCTTCCGTTTGGTCCATTTGTCCATCCTCGTTCTCATAATTATTGATTAATTGTTCCCTCCTCCTCCTCCTCCTCCTCCTCCTCATGTTCCTCTTCCGTATGTTTATGCATCGTTAGTATAAAACCACATAATCATAGTATGCAGCCTGGCTGTCCGATAAGGGCCACATCCCGAATGTCCCATCCGATATTTCAAAAGAGAAACGTTGTGCTTCGTGACAACATGGAAATCCGGTCGCCCATGCCAGGGCGCACATTCCACGACAAAGGCCGAAATGTCGTTCTCACTCCGGCACCGACCTCATTTTCCAAAGAATTCTTTTCCCGCGTGGGAGCGGCGCACATTTGGTACACATGGCTCGTCGACGCTCGGGCGGACGAAGATGCAGTTCTTCCCCTGGCGCCGCGCAGGCTTCGCCTGAAAGTGGCGCTCCCGCCCGGACGAGGCGCAGTGTTTCGGGCGCCGATTGTATGGGACCCGCGCGAGTGGGCGACTTTTCGACTTCGCCCAAGGGCGGAAGCGGCATTTCGCTCGCGCACCCCTTCCCTCCGTCCTCCAGCATCCGATCCGCCTCGTTTATCCTGTTCCTCCAACTCCACCTCCATATTCATGTTCCTCTGCCTTTTTCCTACGCCTCATTAGCATCATCATCCTTTACAACGCCCTCATCATCTGCCACGTTTCCAAGCATCCCACTCATCCACTAAACCGCCTTCATGAATGCCATCACCGCCATCACCGGATCGCCATCATCATCAGTCTCGCCATCAGCATCATCGCGTCAAGCATATTACTCAGTATTAAGCGGCAGCCTCAGCGGCATCATCAGCATCAGCAACATCATCACCACCATCGTTGTCATCATCATCAGCAGCATCATCATCGTCATGGTCGTCATCCTCGTCGCCATCGTCCCAGAAGCCCCGTCTTCTTCAGCCAGACAACCAGGATGTCTATGAATCCGAGCCTCCGCGAGCACATCTCCAAAGGGAGCGGCCGAGGCCGCCACGATCTTCGAGAAGTACCTGCACAACCTGTCGATTTCCAAAACAGCTAGATGGCCCAGAACTGAATAACCTTTCATGGCATAAACCGCCCAAATGAATCACCAATACAGTTGGCCCGAGAATTGCAATATACCCGAACGATGGCCTTATACTAACGTCTTGGGTGGGGCTCTGCAAATTAACGTGGTGCAGAATTTGCCAGAGGGATCCTTACCCTTGAGCAGTTGGTGGATCCAGTTGGTTCAACTACCGCACTTGCTACCGACGCACCTCGCGGTCTCAACCTCGACCAAGTCAAAGTTGAAAGAAAAAATACTCATTAAGACAGCTCTTTATCGGCGATCGCCATGTTTTTCGGGGCCGCCGATAACCTGAATTTCGCGTTGCGGGCAACCCCGCGCCTTCCCAGGCGCGCCAGCGCCGCGGCCCCTATAGCTGCTAACGACATTTCGACGACGCTACAGTTCGGGCTGCAACGGCGCACGCCTGGACCAGCTCGACCCAAAGGGCGAAATCATCGGGGGGCGGGGGGGGCGGGCGAGCCCGATAAGCCTGACCATCCCCGGGGACCATTTAAAAGCGCTGCTACTCCACGGCGCGACCCGCCGGCCAAAATCTGCGGCGGCAGCGCTAGCGCCGCGAGCTCGAGCCAAACGCCGCATCGCAAGGCAAATCCAAAAAGGGCCCCCAGAGAGCACGGGACTCGCGCGCGCCCGCATTCACAAACAAGCGAAGCGGAAAAGCATTAACACGCTTCCAATCTCCACTTTCCACAAGTCAAATCCGGAAATCCCCCCGACGCCCATCGGCCCCGAATCGCCCCCGAGCCGACTGAGGCCCTGGCGGAACCTCTGGAGCCCGGCTGACAGGCAAGCACGGCGCGACTACATGGCGCTCGACCGTCAGCCCGCCCCTCACACAAGCAAGGGGAAGGAGGCGATTGCGCCTGGACCTGAGGTCATACTCCTCGCCGATACTAGCGCCCCACATCGACGCGGTCACACCGGCAATCGAGATCGCCCCCGAGGCGCCCGCCCCCCGAAAAGACTTCGACGAAGACGCGCAGACGCCACCCCGGCCAGCAGCGCGACGCAGAGCTTGCCGCGGGCCCGCAGCTCCAGGCCCAAATCGCACGCGCATCGCCCGGGCCTGCTGCCATTCAACGTCGGACCGAGGGCCGCGAACGCCATCGGCCGCGACGACGCACGTCACCAATGCGACGGCATCCCGACGCGCCGAGCGTCGCCGCGAACAGGGGCGCCGCCATGTGATAACCCGCGCCGACGAAACTCTGCTAGGACTCGCGCCGTTTGGCCCCTGGGCGACGTCTCACCATCGGGTCGCGAGGTGGCCCCCGCGCCGACTGGCGCTCGAGGTCCAAGGAGAAAATTCATGTCCAACTCGCTCGTCCTGGACCCCCGCTCGGCCTCGTGAGACGCGATGCGCCACATAGGCGTCGGAGCTAGTCATGCCCCACCCAATGCCCGCGAGATCTTCGGGCGCGATCGCAGTCGCAGACCCGATTCTCTACCTCGGCGCGTTTCCACGCAATGCGTCTGTTCCCGTCAGCACGGTCGTCTCCGCCGAAGCCGTCTGCCCGCGCGTTTCCGCTACATTGGGCAAGCCGGCGCCCTGCAGCTCGGCCGGCGTAGCAGGGGCCGCCTCTGCTTCGGAGATGCCCCCGTCGCGCGCAATGGCGCCTCCGCCAAAGTCGGGGAGCACGTCGTCGAATGCACGAGCCGTCGCCTCTCGGTGGAACTGGGCGCATGTAGGAAGGGCGCTCGCTGAAGTGGGATCGAGTTCGGGCCAATCGACGTGCTCCACGCCCCCGTTTGTTCCTTGAGCCGTCAAAAGGGCCACGTTGTCTCCCCTCCCATTCCCCATCGAACCGCACTGGCTCTGAAAATGACTGTCGCTCCCGCATCGGAGGCGCAGCATCCCCTTCCCGTTTCGGCCCACGGGGTCGAGTTCCCAGCCTTGCCTTTCCCCCGCGGACTGGCGCCTGCCTCGACCCGCGGCCTGGAAGACCCCCCCAAACTCGGCGACGGAAAAAGCGGCCATCAATGCGGCGATGACTTTTCCGCGCAACCGTCGGTTGCGACGACCTTCCTTTCCGCGACCCCCCCCCCCGCAGGCGAATGCCCCCCGCAACACCCTACGCGCACGCCGCGCGGGCAGGTCGATGAACCGCCCCCAGCGGCTTTTTGCCCGTTTCCGCACCACCGAGACGCAGGGGCAAATCTGAAACATCGATCCGTTCGGTTCCGTTGGATGATACCGCGCCAGCATCTGTTCCAGGAGTCGACGGGCGGATCTCCATTGGAGCCTCGGCCCCATAGAGCAGTCTTCTGGCTCCCAGGGGCCGCGTGCGATTGAGGGTTGGAGGGCTGCCCCCAGCCCCGTTGTGCCGATGACGTCGGGTAGCTTCTACCAGTTCCAGGACCTCGGGGGGCCGTCGAGGAGTGCCGCAGTGGCCCCCTCGGAAGCGTCAGTCCACATGTCGCTGGGCGCGGCCGCGTCTCCGCTGGCGCTCGCCGCGCATGTTTTCGCGTTCCCGCGCCCTGTGCTTGCCAGCAACGCGTTTCCGATGTTGCCGGGGGCGCGTTCCGCCAGATGCTCGAAGCTGCGCGCGCGGTCCCATAATTCATCGCGCGATCGCTGGGCCCGCGGCATCTGACCGCCGGGAGGCCGAGGCGTCCGCGCAGCCCTGCCAGAGCCGAACCTTCGGGCTCTAAAAAACACCGTCGCGAGAAACTGAGAGTTCAGGATGGCGAAGCCAACTGAATCAGCCACAAGACGGGCCTTCTCGAACCCGGCGAGGATCGAATCCGTTCTCTCGCCAGGCTCGGGCCCGAAGTCTACGAGCGCCGCCCCCGAGGCGCGCGGTCGCACATCTTCACAGTTCTCGAATTTGCCACTTAAGCGCAACATTATGCACGTGCCGGGGTCCGTGTGGGCACCTTGCATCGTCGCGCTGTAGTTAATGATATGGGGAGGGGTTCGCATCGCGATGGCGCGCGCTACCCCGCCCAAGCCACGCTGCAGGCACGCATCTCATTGCTGTGGGGCCACGCTGGCGCTCGCGACATTCAGCCACGCATGTACTTCACGAGTAGATTCGAGGAGCAAGACATTCCCTGAGGGGTCCCAGCATGGGCCCCTTGTCGCACGATCGCCTCCATCATTGTGGTTGCCACGTTGCATGCATCCTTCGCCGCGCCCGATGGCCAGCCAACGAATGCTGACAGTAACATGCTGTAAATACAAACTCCATGAGACGTCCTTGACGCCGCGGTCGGTTGTCTCTGGTGTGCCCATCGCCGTTAGGCGGCGGATTGGCTGCGGACGTGCGTCCCCGCGTCGGTTCATGAGCATGGGGTTCGCGCTTCCGCGCAGTGGAAATTGGCACCGTAACTCGTTTCCGAATTCGTCGTAAATTGGAATAAAGTGGCGCAAAGCCGGGGCGTATACGCTTTTCGGAGTGGTCAGGCGGATGTCGCCCATAGTAGGTACAGCGTATCCACTAAGGGCGTTTCTGCCTGCTTGCCAATTATCACGCTCTGACGTCGCAGTGGTGTCGGTGGCATAACAAGCCGTGCCGTGCATAAGTATTATGATAGACAGAGCTGGCCACATTTTAGTGGGGCCAGCTCCGCTACCAAGTAAAAACAAGATGAGGACCATGTGGTAATAGGTTGGAAGGTACATGAAAGATGGTGTACCATCCAGAAGACTGGTCGGGCCTCGTTTTCAGTACGATGGTGAACTGCCGAATCCTCAGGCAGTTCTAGCAAATAGGGCGCCGGCACCTTGACCCAAACGCCGGCGGCACGCTCGCTATGCTCGCTATACATATGCCCCTCTGAACCTCTATTTCAGAATTCCTCGGGTCCCGTCTTCGATGCATTGGAGCCTCAATCCTCAGTCCTGACGGCCAGACCCGAAATTGCAACATATTATGGTATTTTCCGCGTGCCTCCCGAGGCGCGTCGCGTCTTGCCGCATGATATGTTCGTGTAGAAGTTGGCTCCAAGATGGGCCAAGAGGGCCCCGGCCCCCGAGATGGTCCAAGATGGCCCCGAAAGCCGCGCGATCGGTCCAGGGCGCCCCAAGACGGCCCAAGAGGCCTTTGAGGCGCCCTAAGAGAGTCCAAACAACCTTCCCAAGAGGGCCCCGTGGGGCCAAATTCGGTGATGCCCCTTCTGCTCTTCACTGTTTTTAGGGTTCTCCACTTTTCGAGCAACGGACGCCCCAAGACGGCGGGCCCCAAATACCGCCCCAAGACGGCCCCAGAGGCCCCCGAGACGGCCCAAGAAGACCCCGAGACGGCCCAAGAGGCGCCCAAGACGGCCCAAGAAGGCCCCATGTCGGCCCAAGAGGGGGAACACGAACCGAACATCCGAACCTGCCGCCCCAGGAGGCCCCCAAAAGGCTCCAAGAAGACTCCACGAGGCCCAAAGAGGCCTCCCAGGAGCCCAAAAGAGGCCCCAAGGTCCCAAAACAGCCCCCCCAGAGGCCTCGCAAGTGGTTCCAGGAGGCCCCCGGAAAGGCCCCGACGAGTTCCCAACGACCATCCGAAAGGCCTCAGACCCGCAACGCAGGCAAAATGGCGGGATGGGCTGAAGGCCATTCGATATCCAAAATGTCAACTCCACTGCTCGCCCAAATACCCCACATCCCCACCCGCGACTCGCGCTGCAAGACGCATGGGGCGGTGATCGCGACGACTGCTTGGCCACGCCTAGCGCATCTCGGCGGCCGCGCTGGCGCGCGCAAGCTCGCATGCAGAGAAACCAGCTGGTTTACACTACTGGCGTGGCCACGATCGCGCTTGCCGACGGAACCTTCCCAGCGCGTCTCAGAGGCCGCACTGGAGCGGGGGCGCTTCAGAGCGGTTCGAGCTGCCAGGCAGGCGCTGTGTCATAATGACGTCGGCAATGGCGGCAAAGATGATTGTTGTAACGATGGTGGTGGCGGTGGTGATGATGACGATGGCAAGGTCAATGACGGCGCCGATGCTGGTAACGGCGTTGGCGATGATAATGCGATGCTGAAGATGTTGGCTGATGATGACGGCACTGGTGACGGTTGACGATCAAAACGACGGTGATGCGATGGCGCTGATGAGGGTGATGGTGAGGAAGTGCGCGCGCAGAAGTTCCATAGATATTGCAGGCTTGTGGTTGGAAGAAATATTGTTGTTAATATGGTTTGGAGGCCTCAATACTGAAATGCGTAACAAACCAATGGTTCGGGAACGATTTCGACACGCGCGCGTGGTGGCACGCGCGAGTTGTGCATTGGGCGCATGCTGGATCAGCGCGGATGCACCGCGTGGTGAGATGAGAATACGACTTCTGGACGAGATCTCAAAAAAATGATGCCCCACGAATTCAGCAAATGCGCGCGAACAGACAATCTGCAATAGTTATCATGGAAGCCATGACGGCGCTTGGTGTTGCATGCTTCTACATTGGAAAACTTGAAAAAAACTGTTGTGTGTGTGGTATGATGTCGGCCTTTGTGCGAGCGTGCGTTGTCCGATGTTTTGTCCGGGATCAATGGAAACTTCTGTTTCAATATTCGATACGGATTTGGGGGATAACAATATTCGACACGGATGTAGGGGATCGATACCAGATTAGCTGGGCTGGGATGATATGAACTCATACTACAGCTAATAAAGAGGCAGAACCATATGCATTTCGCAATGTCCCAGGGGGGTCCAAGAAGTACGGGGGACGAGGGTGGTGGAATATATATTTTTCCTGTTCAGCGAAAGATGCCCAGTGCAATGTACGTGGTGTTAGCTATATGGTGCAAGTTTCGTGTTGCACTATTTGTGGTGTGACCTATGGTACGCGAGCTATGCGGTGCAAGCTGTGTGGCGCACTCTATTTGGTATAAGCTACCAGACCCACCCAGCGCACGAGGCGGTCACGGGCGGCAATGTGACAAAACCGCGCCGGACCCGTCAAGCGCACGAGGCGGCCACGAGGCGGCCACGGGCGGCAGCGTGGCGAAATCTCGGTGGACCCACCCAGCGCACGAGGCGGCCACAAGGAAGCCATTGGCGGCAGCGTGGCGAAACCTCGCCAGACCCAGCCAGCGCACGAGGCGGCCACGAAGCGGAAACGGGCGGCAACGTTGCGAAACCTCGCGAGACCCAGTCAGCGCAAAAGGCGACCACGAGGCGGCCACGGGCCGCAACGTGGAAAATCACCGCTGGACCCAGCCAAATCCTAAATTAGTCAGGGAAGTAAGAGCCCCCCTGCTTGGGGAACAGTGCTGGCAGGTGAGGGCTGAACAACCCAAACTATCAGCAGATTATCCCCTGCTCCGCGCACCTCGGTTGAGCGCGCAGAAGTGCGGCCGTCCGACGCCTCCGGGATATCCCACAAGAGCTGCCTGGCCGCGGAGCCGTGGGGCCAGCAGTGCTGCACCCGCTGCCATCCCATGTCCACTGCTGTCCCAAGCCAGTCGAAATGCAAGATTTCTGCAGCCCTTCGGCCTCTTTACCCTCCCCTTTCTCCCTGCTCGGTTTTCTACTCGCGTCTTCCTCCTCATTCTCCTCCATCCCCTCTTCTTCTTCTTCCTCCTCCTCCTCCACCGACTCTGACTCATCCTTCTCATCAACCTTATCCTCGTGCGTGTGCGGTAAGGAATAAGATGTGAGAGATCAACTGGGCATGCCAGACCTCGTGCAGCAAGGGGGTCTGAGATGAAGTGGAATCCGAGATCTATGCTCAGAAGGAACCCCAAGGCCTGCTGGCCTGTACTCGGCGACTGTAAGCGCGAATGTGATCCAACCACTCCTGCTCCTGCTCCTGCTCCTGCTCCTGCTCCTGCTCCTGCTCCTCCTCCACCTCCTCTTCTAGTCAGTCGTTTAGTCAAACCACGCGCCGGACAACGGCGCATCGATAGTAGATCGAAAAGAGCACGATTGGCTCACAAATGTTAAAAGAAAGAAAACGGCAAGACAATGCAACACTGCTACAGACCTACACTGGGTGGAGGCCGGCCCGAGGGCCAGCGCCTCCTACTCCTCCTCCTACTCCTCCTCCTCCTCCTCCTCCTTCTCGTCCTCCTCCTCCTCCTCCTTCTCGTCCTCCTCCTCCTCCTCGTCTTCCTCACCCTCCGCATCCTCCTCCATCTCATCCTTATCCGCCTCCTCCTCCTCCTCCTGCTCCTCTTCTTCTTCCTCCCCCTCCTCCTCCCCCTCCTCCTCCCCCTCCTCCTCCATCTCATTTCCTTTTAGATAACTCCTCCCTGTCGCACCCCGAGGCCGGTCGAAAAGGCAGGCCAGGCGTTTCGCCTGAGACTTGCCCGGGTCGCTTTCAACATGTCGATATCGCCTTAGCGCCGCGCGCATTCGTCTCAAAAGTTTAAAAGCTTCACGAATGAAGAGCGGTGCGTTTTCAACATGTATTTCTCGCCTTTAGCGCCGCGATCATCTTGAAATATTGCAAGAGCTTCACAGATGGAGGGCGGTGCGTTTCCAACATGTAGTCATCGCCTTAGCGCCGCGCACAATCATCTTAGTTTGCAAGTGCTTCACGGATGTAGGACGGTCCGTTTTCAAAATGTAACTCTCGCGCCGGCGCCGCGCACGTTCGTCTTAACAGCTTGATTGCATGAGCTTCGTAGATGGAGGGCGGTTCCTTTTCGAAATGTGACTAAAATCGACTTCGCGCCGCAAACGTTCGTCTCGAAAGTCCGCAAAAAGTCTCACGGATGGAGGGCGGCTCCTTTTCAAAATGCGGTTCTCGCCCCAGCGCCGCGCACATACGTCTCAAGAGTTTGTTTCAAGCTTTACGTCCCAGAAACGGTGTTTTGGCACGATGTCGGAATGCCATGGCGAACCAATCAGGCTGATTCGCGGTGTTGACGTCCCAAGAATGGTATTAAGGCACGATACAGGATCGTCAAGACGCAACACTCACCGTGAATCGCGGCGTCGGAGTCCCAGGAATGGTGTTCCAGCACGGTTCCAGATGCTCGAACGGCTGTCTTCCAAAGGGGCACTTCCCTCAGTGAAAATGTATCCTTGTTCGGGGATTATGACGAGGGAATTTGGAGGGAAGGTTTCTTGCAACATCGTTGATGATGCCTGGGCTTACCCTGGTTCTCATCCCGTCCTGCGCCTCCTCCTCCTCCTCCTCCTCCTCCTCCTCCAACTCCTCTATCTCGTCCTCCACCTCCTCCCCGTGCTCCTCCTGCTCCTCCTGCTCCTCCTCCTATTCTTCCTCCTCCTCGTGCGGTTCCTTCTCCTCCTCCTCATCATCATAATCATCAGAATCAGCATCATCATCAGCATCAGCATCGTCGTCATCATCATCATCATCATCATCAGCATCATCATCATCATCATCATCATCATCATCATCATCATCATCATCATCATCATCATCATCATCATCATCATCATCATCATCATCATCATCATCATCATCATCATCATCATCATCATCATCATCATCATCATCATCATCATCTTCATAATCAGCATCACTGTCATCATCATCATCATCATCATCGTCGTCGTCATCATCATCACCATCATCATCATCACCACCACCACCACCACCACCATCATCATCATCATCATCATCATCATCATCATCATAATCAGCATCACTGTCTTCATCATCATCACCATCGTCGTCGTCATCATCATCATCACCACCACCACCACCATCATCATCATCATCACCACCACCACCATCATCATCATCATCAGTATCATCATCCTCACCAGCATCATCGTCATCAATATCATCAGCAGCATCATCATCATCTTGGACGTCATCATCATCAGCATCATCATTAGCATCATCATCATCGTCGTCATCATCATCATCAACAGCATCATCATCATCGTCCTCCTCCTCCTGATCCTGTTCCTGCTCCTCCTAGACGTCCTCCTCTTCCTCCTCCCCTGTGCCCTGTTCCATCTCCTCCTGCTTCTCCGTCTGCTCCTCCTCCTCCTCCTCCTTCGCCACCTCATCCTCCTCTATCCCCATTGTTTTTTGGGGTGAACGTCCACTCTGCCACATGAACGGCCGAAGGCGACCAGATCCAGAAGTCCCCATCCGACATGTAAGAAAACCATGCAAAATCAATGTGTCTCGTTTCAACCTAGATGTTTCGTCGTCCATGTTGCCAAATGCGTGGCAAGCATGGGACGGGGCGCACATCCCACGTGAAATTTCGGAATGGCGCAGTCGCCTCTGCGCCGCGCCCATTTAGATAGTATACCAGATACCTTATAAGATATGTATACAGAACAACATATACTACAATATACTATGATATTATGAACTATAACATATTTTCTGAAAAGAAAGTGAAAGGCCATAGTATACTATAACAGAAGAGAATATATGAAACTACAGTATGACATAATATAGCGCGTAAGAGCAAGATATAAAGTAATATAATGCGATAACATATAGCATAATGTACAATAATATTACATTAAATGGTATAACGGCATGTGATATAAAGTCGTACAATATAGTATAACGTAATACACAACAATAGGATCACAAAAAACTATGTCATGGTACCCTATACACTCGTATTCTATAGTGCACTAATATGATGTGATATAACATACTATAATAGAAATAAAATAAGATACTATAATATAGTATAGCTTAATAAATATACTATATGATACTAAAATATATTACAATGTACTACAACATATTGAAATATATATATATATATATAATATATACATCTATGTGTATGATATATATATATATATATATACATTCATAAAATAATACCATATCTAATATAATATATTACCTTCTAATCGAGTATAAAATAATAGAATGTACATGGTTTCCCGTTTGCCCGCGGCGAACATTTTTAGCACGCAACTCGGTCGGCCGGCACCCAAGCGTACAAAAGTGTCTCGCTCCGGCGCCGCGCAGAATTCGCCAGGAAGTGGAGATCCCGCCTCGACGTGCCGCATAAATACCACTCGCCTATTTTGTTGGGCCCGCGCGAGGAGGCGGCTTGTCGCCCTCGCCCACGTTCCGTGCCCATTTCGCTGGAACGTGGCGTTCCAGCGCGGGCGTTGCATGGTTCGTTCGCCGAATCGCAAGAAAGGGACAGCGGCAGTGGTGCCGCGCGAGAGCGGGCGAAATGCCACCCTCGCCCAAGCGCCGCGCAACATGATGTGTGAGCGCGGATTCGTTTCCGCCGCGCCCACAGGAAGTTGTGCCGATCCTGCCCCTGCGCTGCCGCAACATTTGCTCTTCGCCAACTCGTCGGAAGCGGGGCCGCGCGCGAGCGCCTTCCGTGTGCGAGGTGTGAGCGCGATCCAATCTCAAACTCAAGTTGTGCCGCAATTGATTATCATGCTGTCGAGGATGGGAGTACGCGGGCCCTCTGACATGCTCGATCCGGCTAACTTGACTTTTCCTCCTCCCCCGCCTCCTCCTCCTCCTGCTCATAATCATCATCATCATCATCATCATCATCATCATCATCATCATCATCATCAGCATCATCATCACTCATCATCATCATCATCATCATCAGCATCATCATCAGCATCATCATCATCATCGTCGTCGTCATCATCATCATCATCATCACCATCATCATCATCATCCACCGGATGGGAGAGGAGAGGAAGAAAACGACGTCAAGGAGGACAACGGGGCGACGGCGACCACGACGGCGGTGGCGGCTGCGGCGGCGACGAGAAAGTGGCGGCCTCCGCGCCGTGGCTGGCCCTGCGCCATCCTGGGCAGGGGCAGGTCCGGATCTCCGTGCCTCTCTCCCCACGAGGTATTCAGCAACACATGCAACGAGTGCACATGTTTTACTCTTGCCTCTGTTCCCCTGTGACCCTATCCTTTGGGCAAGGCTGTAAAAACATGTCAATGGTCTCGGCCCTCGTGGACACTAGGCACCGCCCGCCTGCCCCCAACGGACACGCGAAGTGAGCGTCGTCAGGAGCAGCGCGACGATGCTGATAATGTACTGGCATCGCACGATGAGGTGTCATGAGTTTTGAAAAACTAGCTCCTGGAATGCTTATGAACATTCGTTCAAACGGCTTCGGCATGCGCGAGCGGGGGTCGCGCGCGTGTGGCCTATGATGTATTATGTGGGAGATTTGGGGGGGGTGCGCGATGACCTTGTATGAATCCGACCTGCTCGGCAGTGGAACAAACATGTTTTAAGGTATATGTGTTTGTTGAGGAGCTCGATATTACAGTTATGTGACACGACCTGGATGGTGGATGAGTTCGGCATGCGCGCGTGGGGGGGGGCGCGCGCGTGGTCAGCATGATATTGTTCGATCGGGGCGTTTTCCAAAACACGTGTTAGACCAACGCGTGTGCAACTGGTACGATTTGATCAAGACCACGGGGGTTCGATACATGTCGGTTGGGGATGGTACCAGTTCATGTATGACGTGAACATTCGTACAGGACAGAAATGAAATGCCAATGCGCGGAATGGGAAACATGGCGGCCTCGACGGAGAAATCGTATGTCAGCATATAGAGAAGGAACGTAAACGTGATGCAGCAGGGCTCGAGCCAAACAGTATTTGCCGTTTTGGTTTTGTACTCGGTGTCCTTCGTTCTGTGTTCGTTCTGCCTCTGCTGCGACATGAAATGAAAACGAAAGCGGCCCACGAGATCGCCTAAACACCGTTCAGCTCGATTCCCGTGCTGCAGCATGTGTGGTGGGAGCTGCGCGGTGCAGTCTGTGGGCTGCAAAACTCAGGGCCGCGACGAGGCAACGACAGGCGCCCGCCTGGGCGAGAAAGCCCAGCGCGCCCCGCCAACGCACGCACCAGCGACAAACAGCGGTGACGCGCGCCCCAACAGCCCGAAACCTGGACCACCCTTGCAATTTAGACGAGCGCGTTCCACTATTCGCAAAGTAACTACTCGCAAGTGGCCTGGAGCCCCCGCGGGGGATCCACGATAAAATACATCAAAGCAGACATGTGCTTTTCGGACGTTTGCGAGTGGGCAATTTACGAGGTAGTGGAACGAGCTCGGTGACAGTTACTACGTCGAACGTAGGGCAGTTCCTCAAACTGCAAGCAACATGCCGTCGTGGCGCGGCAGAAGCGATCCGCTCGCGCGCTCTAGAAGCAGGGGCAGAGAGTACCAATTGTCCCCCCATTCTGTATATGTATACTACCACATCCCGCGTATATACACATATGTGGGGAAAAGAGGAGGTCACTCACGGCACGAAAAACTTCGGCATGAGCGGCCGGTGCGGCCGGCCGTTGCTGGGGCGGCCTGGCCGTTGACGTGCCTCGTAGTGCAAGCACAGCTTAAGGAAAATCCGCGTCCGCAGCCTCTCCTCACACGACATCTGACGGTATAATTTTCTCTTGACGTGGGCCCCCAGGACTCTCACCCCCTTCCTCGGGGGGTCTTTCGTCCAGGGCCTGTACATGATGGCCCAGGGCCCGAAAAAGGCCAAAACTTGTGGGAAAGACCGGCCGCCTCGACTTGCCGTGGTGCCCCTCCCGTTCAGAAGCTCGGCACCAAGACGTGCCCATTCGTGCGTTCTGGGCAAAATGTCGAGGCGGATCCGGTCGTGACGACGAGGGCCCTCCCCAGGAGGCCCCAAACATATCACTGCGCTCAACATCCCATCCTCCTCATTTCCCTTCTCCTCCTCCTCCTCCTCCTCCTCCCCGTCCTTCTCCTCCTCCTCGACGTCCTCCTCCTGTTACGGGGAGGAGGCGGAGGCGGAAGAGGAGGAGGAGGAAGAAGAAGAGGACGACGAAGGAAGGCAAGGCGGACGACGACGACAACGACGACGACGACGAAACGACGAAAACGACGACGACGAGGACGACGGCGACGACGGCGAGACCTGATCGTCCTGCCTCTGGCGGCGCCTGCGCGCCCCCAGGGCCCCGGCGGCGCTGGACCCAGCGGGCCTGGTGGGCTGGCGCGTCCAAGGGTAAGGGGGGAAGGGGAGTTGAGGATGGGGATCGAGGAAGGGTCGAGCAGGGCTGGAGACAAACGGTGTTGTTCGTTTTCGTTGTCCTTTTCCTTCGTTATGTCCTCGTTCTGCCTTTGCTGCGAAAGGAGAGCCAAACGAAAACAACCCACGAAATCACCAAAAAACTGTTAAACTCGATCCCTGTGGTCGAGCATCGGGGTGGGGACATCGAGGACGAAGATTGAGGAGGTCATCAGAAAGGGCCGCACGCTGAGGGCATTGTCGACAGAACTCCCTAGCGTGCTGCCAGATCCCCCTCCCCCTCTCCTCCGTGCCCAACCTGGGCAACGAACCGCTCCACTTCGTCAACATGTGCATTACTTTACTCGAGCAACCCCTACAGGCCAGATTGCATTCGTTCCGTCCACCTTTCGGTGGTCGGACAGAGGGTTGGTTTGAATAGAGCTGGGGACGCGCACTAACCGAATAGCTTAGCTGGACTGGGAATTCGTCGGCTGGAGCACAGGCGCTGTGTGGCCGTAGCATGTGCACAGACCATGGATGCTTCTAAGGCATACGATGTGTGCTCAACAGCAAGGCGAAAGCAATACCAAACGAAAATCAACAAACAGTTACAAACTGAACACACAACTATCAGCAAACACAATGGAAATCATGAAACACCTGGAGTAATACAACAATACAAAAACGGCACGTATTCTAAACACTTGAACTGCAAACTAAAACGAATGCTTAATTGAACAATAAAGCAATAAGACAAAAACGAAATCGCAACAGCAAACACAACATCAAGAGCTAACGAAAAAGCAGGCACGACACATACAACACATAAAAACGCATAGCCTTCGCATGGCAGTGTAATGTCGTTTCCTAGAGACTATACGTATTCCAGATCTACATATGTATATATACACGTACATACACCGTTCGAATCGTTTGTAGTGTACATCTAGATGTACACAAATATATAGGGAGAGAGAGAGAGAGAGGGAAAAAGAGAAAAACAAACATGCATTTGAACAGTCTACAAATAATGTACTGCCATATCCGCAACCATGTCTCTGGCACGAAGTAGGCTGCCCCAAGGCTCACGCAGCCCTGAGAGGTAAGAGGGTTTGCAAAGAGCTTGGGGGCCCGGACCCCCAATGTCCCGGGCGCTCCTGGGCGCCACCGGCCGCTTTTGGGGTGTTCCGCGTGGGCCTCTGGGACTGTCCCCTCGCACAGGAGGGCCCCGTAACGGGCCAAGAAAGCGCCAGGAGGCCGCCCAGACGATCCAGGAGGGCACAGACGCCCAACATGGCCTCCAGACGGTCCAAGAGGCCTCGAAGACGCCCCATGGAGGCGTCCAAGACTACCCCCAGAAAGGGCCCCAAGAAACACACATTGTTGATTTCCCTTCGGTGTTTGAATGATTGTGGCGTTCTCGCCTTTTCGGCTCCTCGACGCTCCAAGACGGCCCACCAAGTAGACCCAAGTATCGCCCCAAGACCGCTGAAGAGACCTCCAAGGAGGCCCCACAACGGCCACAGATGGGTCCAAGACAGCCCAAGGAGCCTCCAAGACGACCCAGGCCCCCAAGACGGCTCCAACACGGGGCCCAGACGGGGGACCCGAACGAACATTTCGAGCCCTCGACCCCGAGAGGCCCCCAAGAGGCGCCAAGAGGACCCCAAACAAAACACCAAAAGGCCCAAAAGGCCACCAAGAGAAGACCCCAGGAAGCTCCCGAGAAGCCCTACAGAGACTCCAAAGCTGACCCCCTGAGGCCCCCGAGAGCGCTCCGAAGAGACCCCGAGAAGCATCCCTGAGGACGCAGTCACACAGTCCAGGCGCGGTGGCGGGATGGGCCGAAAACCGTTCAAGGTTGTGTACAACGTTGTAAAAGACATATTGTGTTTACATACAGGTACATATGGCACATGCTTACACATGATATGTGATACTTGCTATGTTGTTGTGTGTATACGTCTTTATATACATCGATGCATTCTGACCACGCGCGCTTCGCGCGCTTGGTCCCTAGCCGGGAGTGCAGGTCGTTGTCACAGGACCTGGCGCTAATCCGTGAACCCCAAGATACCAAAGGAGAGGTTCCCCAGGCAAGGGCTGCCCTTGGCGCGCGGATGTGTTCATCTTTCTGGGGGTAAGCAGGAGCGGAGCCGTGCGAGATCGGCGTGCGACGCGTCGGAAAGCTCCGAATGTTTCCCAGACTGCGCTAGTGACGTGACTGCCACGGTGGCCGAGGAGGGCCCCAGAGGTTCAGCGCCGCCAGGCCGCCGCCGCCGCAGCCGCCGCCGCCGTCGTGATGATCGTCGCGGTCATCGTCGTAGTGGACGTGGTGGTGGTGGTGGTGGTGGTGGTGGTGACGGTGGTGGTGGTGGTGGTCGTCTGTGGCACGTGATCGGAGGATTGCACGTTCTGGGGCACGTTGTGCTGTTCTGGTGCCTCTGGAGGCCTCCGGAATCTGGAGATCTGTGGAGACCATCGGCCGTCGTCGATCGATCGCCGTCGTTGTGGTCGTCGTCAGGCCTCTGGAAGACGCCGGGGCTCCTCGTCGTCACTGTCGTCGTCGCCGTGCTCATCGTGGTTGTGGTCGTGGTCGTCGTTATCGCCGCCAACGACGTCGCAGTCGTTTAAGACCGAGGGAGAGAATGAGAGATCCAGCTCGAGAGTCGAGGATCGTAGATTATGTTCGGCCTTCTTGGGTCTCGCGGGGTCACTTTCGTCGCCGCGTTTGCCCACGGCGTTAGGCTCCCGCCAGCGCTCGTCCAACGTGCGGGCTCTGGCCGTCGCCGCCGCTACAGCCGCGGTCGGCGTCGTCGTCGTCGCCGACTTTGCAGGTATTTGTGCAGGTTTGGAGGCTGCTGGCCTCTCCATGGCCTCCCGTGTCAGAACTCGGCAGACACCCTGAGGCCTATGGGGTCGTCCTCAGGCCACCCGTCGGGGGTCGTCGGCCTCCTCGTCGTCCTCGACACCTCTCCTCCTCCTCCTCCTCCTCCTCCTCCTCCTCCTCCTCCTCCTCCTCCTCCTCCTCCTCCTCTTCCTCCTCCTCTTCCTCCTCCTCCTCCTCCTCCTCCTCCTCCTCCTCCTCCTCCTCCTCCTGCGCCTGCGGTATGATTCGGGACATCCGCTCGGACACTCACGGCGAATATTCCGGATATCGATGTGGATGTTCCTGGCGAGGGTTGAGGGACCTCCGAGAAGGTTTGCCGAGACAAGAAACAAATGTTGTTCCGTCGGTGTTTGAAGGATTTAGGGGTTCGCGCCTTTTCTGGCCAAGAGCGGCCCAAGACGGCTCAGACTGCCTCCGAGATCGCAACAAGACGACCCAAGAGGCTCCAAAAATCGCCCCATGACGGCCCATACGGCCAGACCTATGACAAAAAAACATCCTGAAAGAACATGAGACCCCCTGCCGACCAAACTGAAGAACATTCGAGGGTACCCTCCCCCAGAATGTACAATAAGACCCGCCAAAGAAGAAGGACATTAGGCATGCCTCGGGCCGACTGTAGGCCCTAGGGCAGCTGCTCGCTGTCGGTGCTGGTGCCGCCCCGCCCCGCCGCCCTACGCTATCTCGCATCTTCGGGGGGCCTGTGCTCCTCTTCCTCCTCCTGCTGCTGCTATCGGCTGCGGATAGTCCGTCGCCGCTCTCTCCACCTCCTCCTCATCCTCCTCCTCCTTCTCCTCTGCATACTCTTCGCAGTCGGCCGCTCAATTTCTACCGCACTGGCTGATCGTGCTGCTGGCTCATCTTCGTCTCGGAACGACCCAGAGATGATCTTCGGGAGGAATGCGGCACGGGTGGAGAAGCTGCTGCAGTGCATGTCCGACGGCACGATGCCGAGCGAGGCCGCTGGCACGGCTTTGCGTGTCCTGCTGTATGGGACGGATTCCGGAACACTGTCCTCGGCCAGATCTCGGATCCGGGTCATGGGATCGCCGATCCCGAGTGAATTGCCGGTATGAGGCCGCCTTTTGCTTTTACTTCTCGGACGCCTTCAAAGTAGGGCCCGCCCCTCTCCGCCTGCCCCCGGATCCCCGCGGGAGCCCGGCGTGGCAGATGCCTGCAGCAAGAAGACAAGTCGTGCTGGGGCCACGTGCCCAGAGCCGAGGGTCAGAGAACGGCGAGGCTTGTGTCGGGCATGTCCCGAAGAGTCCTGCGGGGGGGAAAGGGACGAAACACACAGAAAAACAAACAAACAAACAAAAAACAGAAACACACCCCACAAATATTCGAAATGGTGTTTCTTGTGTTGTATGACTATGTTTGCAGATGCCCCCTGTAGAGGGCCAGGCCCGACGTGAGGTGAGGCCCGAGGCCCGAGGCCCGAGGCCCGAGGCCGCCGGGGCCGCGGCCGCGGAGGGTGGCGAGGCCCGCAGGCGGTTTTCCCCAGCCTCGAGCTGGGCTCCGGCAGCTGCGCCTCGCCGAGGCCGTTCCGGGAGGGCCTCAGCAGCGCGTCCCGAGCGGCCACGGGAGACACCCGAGTCATGCCTTAAGTCGGGTCTGTCCCTCTACAGGGGGGAAATTCAAAAATATATGTTTATGTTTTTAACCTGGGGATTTTTCTACCATCTTTGAATATTTGGGGGGCATGTTTTAGGAATTGTTCATTTTCCGTCCAAAATCCCCCTGCAGGGGGACAGGCCCGACCTAAGTCATGACCCACAAGCCATCAGAGGGGCGGGTTTTCCCCCTTTATTTTTTTCAGATTCGGGACTTTGCCTGTCCCGTAAGTGGGAGTCGTTGACTTGTGCTCCGACGTGGGCTCGACGCAACTCCGACGTGGGCTCGGCATGGGTTCGACACAGATTCGACGCGAACTCGACACGTTCGACATGAGCTCGACATGGATGCGACACGGGTGGCTGGCGCGATGGGACAGACGAGGTCTCCCGAAGATGCAACATGACCCACATCTTAGGGCAACGCTCCAAGAATCGAGGATCAGAGGAACAGGTACCGATGATGTTGCCCTTGCCTCGTTTTCGCCACTTTGGGCCTCCTGGGAGGCCCTCGTCACCACGGCTGGATTTGCTGGGATATCCTGGCCAGACCACGCCCAGGCCAAGGTCTGGGGAGTTTCGACTGGGGGATCGACTACAATATTGATTTACCCAATAATTGATTTTCACGTCGGCCCTTCAACAGAAATACGTGAACCATTCGTAGATCTGCGAAAGTTTTACGAATTACCCGTGGATTCGACAAGAAAATCAATTCTGGGTCAATTCAATTCTGTAGTCGATCCCCTACTTGACTGTTGGATCCCCAACAACGGACATGTTTATCCGTATCCGTGCCCTCGCGGTATGGACTCCGAGGCGCAGTCCAGTGGACACGAGATCCCATGGACACCCTGATCTCCGACAATGTAATTTGCTTGAACCAGCGCTTGCTTCATAGATGTCAGCCTGCTGGAATCCATGTTCTGGCCCCGGGACGATCAAAAGTGGATCCAGGACGGCGGTGATGATTCGAAGAAGCAGAATAACAATGATTAAAATAACAACAACATAATAATAAAAAAGATTTTTGAAATTGATTCGACTTCCAACTATAACACATAATAAGACTGAACATTTAAGAGGTAACGAGAATGAAAAGCCAGAGTTCGAATAATGTTGCTTGTACGTAGCACCCCGCAATTGCGGATAAGAGTAAGGGGGCGGGCGCGGGCGACGCGGGCGTCGTCGAGCCGGCGGACCTCGTGGCCCCCACCGTCTCTGTCGATGGCGCTCTCCTCCTCCTCCTCCTCCTCCTCCTCCTCCTCCTCCTCCTCCTCCTCCTCCTCCTCCTCCTCCTCCTCCTCCTGGTCCTCCTCCTCCTCTTCCTCGTCCTCGTCCTCGTCCTCATCGTCATCGTCATCCTCCTGGTCCTCCACCTCGTCATCCTCCTCTTCTTCCTCGTCCTCCCTCTCCCCACCTCGTCCTTCCATCATCGTCCTCCCATTGTCGTCCATCATCATCATCCTCCCCCTCCTCCCCCTCCTCGTCCTCCTCCTCCCCCCCCTCATCCCCCTCCTGGTCCTCCTGCTCCTCCTCCTCCTCCTCCTCATTCTCCACATTCTCCTTACATCCTCTCTTCTTCCGCGTCCTCCTCGTCCCCTGTTTACTCCTCCTGCCTCCCCCTCCTTTCCCAAGATAACAGCAACGCAATCCTTTTTTTCACTTTATGCTCCCCGACTTCTCTGATCAAGGTAACTCGCCAGGGCAAAGTTGTTGGACAGGCTGGTGTGGATGCGCGGGGCTTGAAGAGGTCGTTGCGGGCTCAGACGGCATGCAAAAATCCGCCGCCGCGCTTGTGCGGCATTGGCTTGTTCAGTGAACGTGGTTTCGGTCGCGGGTGGGTCGCGGGCTCTCCACCTCCACCTGGAAGGAATGCAAAAGCAGCCCGCCGCAGGCGCCGCAAAAAAATTGGTTTGTACACTGAACGTGGTTTGGGTCGCGGGTGGGCCGCGGGTTCTCCACCGGGAGCGAAGGCAAAAGATGCCCGCCGCAGGCGCCGAAAAATTCGGTTTGTACCCTGAACGTGGTCGCGGGTGGGCCGCGGGCTCTCCACCTGAAACGAATGCAAAAGATGCCCGCTGCAGGCGCCGAAAAATGTGGCTTGTACGTAGCACCCCGCAATTGCGGATAAGAGTGAGGGGGCGGGCGCGGGCGACGCGGGTGTCGTCGAGCCGGCGGACCTCGTGGCCCCCACCTTCTCTGTCGATGGCGCTCCTCCTCCTCCTCCTCCTCCTCCTCCTCCTCCTCCTCCTCCTCCTCCTCCTCCTCCTCTCCTCCTCCTCCTCCTCCTTCCTACCCCCTCCCTCCTCCTCCTCCTCCTCCTCCTCCTCCTCCTCCTCCTCCTCCTCCTCCTCCTCCTCCTCCTCCTCCTCCTCCTCCTCCTCCTCCTCCTCCTCCTCCTCCTCCTCCTCCTCCTCCTCCTCCTCCTCCTCCTCCTCCTCCTCCTCCTCCTCCTCCTCCTCCTCTCTCCTCCTCCTCCTCCTCCTCCTCCTCCTCCTCCTCCTCCTCCTCCTCCTCCTCCTCCTCCTCCTCCTCCTCCTCCTCCTCTTCCTCCTCCTCTCCTCCTCCTCGTCCTCGTCCTCATCGTCATCGTCATCCTCCTCCTCCACCTCGTCCTCCTCCTCCTCCTCTTCTTCCTCGTCCTCCCTCTCCCCCCCTCGTCCTTTCATCATCGTCCTCCCATTGTCGTCCTCCCCCTCATCGGCCTCCATCATCGTCCTCCCATTGTCGTCATCATCATCATCATCATCATCATCATCATCATCATCATCATCATCATCATCATCCCCCCTCCTCCCCCTCCTCGTCCTCCTGCTTCCCCTCCTCCCCCTCCTCCCCCTCCTGGTCCTCCTGCTCCTCCTCCTCCTCCCCCTCATTCTCCAGATTCTCCTTACATCCTCTCTTCTTCCGCGTCCTCCTCGTCCCCTGTTTACTCCTGCCTCCCCCTCCTTTCCCAAGATAACGGCAACGCAATCTTGTTTTCACTTTATGCTCCCCGACTTATCTGATCAAGGCAACTCGCCAGGGCATAGTTGCTGGACAGGCTGGTGTGGATGAGCGGAGCTTGAAGAGGTCGTTGCGGGCGCAGACGGCATGCAAAAATCCGCCGCCGCGCTTGTGCGGCATTGGCTTGTTCAGTGAACGTGTTTTGGGTCGCGGGTGGGTCGCGGGCTCTCCACCTCCACCTCGACGGAATGCAAAAGCAGCCCGCCGCAGGCGCCGAAAAAAATGGTTTGTACACTGAATGTGGTTTGGGTCGCGGGTGGGCCGCGGGTTCTCCACCAGGAGCGAATGCAAAAGATGCCCGCAGCAGGCGCCGAAAAAATTGGTGTGTACCCTGAACGTGGTCGCGGGTGGGCCGCGGGCTC